TTTACCAGCGTCGATAAACAGATCGTCCAAAATAGGCAAGTTGTTAACCCTCAGATCGAAGAAGCCGTCATCATCTAGATCAATTGGTATGCCTTGAATAAACTCTACGCGCGGGAAAACCGATCTCTAAATTTTTAAGTATAAAGGCTGCCATCGTCGATAAAGCCACACAATTAGCTGTATTTTGGGCTTTATTCTTCTTGCGTGATTTTGTAGTAAATCTTTGACGAAGGTGTTTTTTCCACAACCGGGATGAAAATAAATAAGCAACATTCAAGACCCAATTGGCAAAAATCTAATATTAATGCAAAATACCAAACAGATTAGATAATGTTAAAACAAATACCTTCTGGGTCTGAAAAGAATCATTGGTTTCGATTCCATTGTTGTGGTGCCTCCTGTGTAGATTAGGGCGGAATCGTTGTTATGTTATCCTGTTGTCGCGGCGGCGTTGATATATTCCACTGTCCTTGTGGTACCGAAGTTGTTGGAGGTGGTGTTGGTGGCGGAGGCGGCGTGGAATACGCTTCGTTGATTTCTTTATGTTTGCTGCGTTGATGTCTTAACATTACACCTCTTCCAGAAACATTTTGTAGACAATTTGGATACTTGCTCATGTTTTGTAACAGAATGATCAGCTAAGGCTGTTTCAATGTGTAAACACTATTACAGATGTAAAGACTGTTATCTATTGATCATCTGTGCATATCATAAAAAGCCGCATGTATGTGGTGAAAACTACTGTAATACTTGCAAGAACTATGTAGATAATAAGCATTTATGTTACATCAACCAGTTGAAGAAGATGATGGTTTCCCGTACGGAAAACTTGCAAACAGGGAAAGAGAAACAAAATACATGTATACTAGAATTTTCTTTGGCCTAGAATGTACTCAGGACAATCGCGTGTCATTTAGGGTACTTATCTAGTGTAAATAATAGATGTGTGAATTGTAAGACATCATATTGTGGAATAATGAAACATAGGCCAAATTTATGTGTGGCGCACAAGATTTGTGGTGCTTCCATGTCATATAAGGTTACTCCCTCTTCTGAATGCGAGATTTGTGGTCAAAATACAAGGGTATTTCTGGCCCTAATATGATAGAGTTCTTTTGCAAGAGGTTATTTGCCGCAGGAAAAAGAACTCTACTGTCATATGCCACAATTTCAAGGGTAATGATAGTTACCCGATTATGAAATACTTGTACAACATTGCTATCTTACCTGAAATAATCACAACGGGATCACAATATATGTCCAATATTGTATCGATCTTTTAAATCAGATTCATTGACTCACTGAATTTTATTCCCATGGTCCTTGCTGATATGCCAAAAGCATTTGGAGAAACAGAACTCGCCAAAGGTTATTTTCCCCATTTATATAACACGTCAAACAACCAATCGTCTGTGCTAGACCATTTGTCTTATATGAAGTACTATAATCCTGACGGTTTGAAGCCTGGCGCATGTAAAGCTTTTATAGACTTGTTCAATACAAACCATTATAAGCCTTTTGAATTGCAACTGGAGCGTTTATGTTACTGTCGATCTGATGTGGATATTCTTCGGAATGGTGCCTTAAATAAAGGACAATTTTCAGAGACCTTACCAAAAGTGAAGGCAATGATGGAATAGATCCTTTGCATAACAATTGCTTCCGTCTAGATCACGAAATAATTGCGTTTGGGAGGTAAGTTTACATACACAATGGTTGAAATCAGGGAGAAAAGCAAATAGGGTCTTATAAAGTTAATGGATATTATGAAACAAAAATTAAAAGTTGTCCTAGAGTTTAATGGGGATTTCTGGGCATGGTTGTTTTTCTTAAAGTATAATTAACCCCGTCAATGGACTATCTATGGCTGAACTATATAATAATACCGTTCGAAAACAAATATACAGTCGAGACTGCCTGAGCGACCCCCTGATTTAAACGACTCCCTGTCTTATCCGACCTTGTTTCAGTACTCCCAACGTATTTTCCTATATAAATGGTCTGAATTAAACGACTCCCTGTCATATGTGACAAGCGACCCTAATTGTCTGGTCCCAATGCAAATGTTTGGTCTGATTTAAACGACTTTCACACCTTTTAATTGTCCGTTAATCAGATAAATAATACCTATTATAACACCCAGAGGGCCAAAATAATTAAGTCCAATTATAATCCAGCAGCAAACAAAGTCTACACACCTCTATCTCAATTACACAGTGTACATGCAGGTATCAAGTGACGTAGCGTCTGGATACAATCGTCGTATGTGTAATGTACATGATGGCCTGAGTAAACTGGGTTAAGACTTGTGTTAGATTTTTTTTTAATTATAGAGTGCCCACGGAAGATTTTTTAGGCAGCATTTTTTATCAATTTACCTTTCTATGGCTGCATAATTAATACGGAAAAAATATTGATACCAAACCAGAAAAAAGCTTTGGATATGGATATGTTACACAATTTTTTCAAGGTTTTATTTCATAAATATGATGCTCAAATTAAGATTTGTCAATATTGTAAGTTCAAATAAGCATGATTTATAAAGATATCGCCCAATTTAACATTTCATGTAAATAAAAGCTATTAAAGGGAGGTAATTAGAACTTTATTTTCTATAAATTCTAAGTCAAATTTTCCAATAAGAAATCAATGCATGTAATTTATTGATTAAATATAATGTGCACAAATATTTGCAGTACACATTTAACATATTCTTTGATGTTGGAAAATTGTTTTATTTGCATAATTATATCCATATATATATTTTTTTGCAACTGTTGTATGCACACAATCAAAAACATACAAAATCTATAAGTCACAATGGTATATAGACAGATAGATAATATTTAAATTTAATTTTCTATTTAATTTTCTATGAGACTGTATTAAGAGACTCCCTGTCATATGTGACCTTTTTCTGAAGATCCCTTGGAAAGTCACATATGACAGTCTCGACTGTACATTGAATCAGAAGGGTATATATAATTATGAATGCATCTGGGAATGTAATTTAAAAAAAACAGTTGAAAATTCCACTATGAGAGATTAAATTGAATCTTTAGAGTATGTATTACCGTTAGAACCAAAAGATGCGTTTAATGGGGGTGGACAGAAGCATTTCAAATGTAGGCAGAGTCCACAGCAGAAAAACACATTAATTACTTTGACGTAACCTCCCTACATCCTTTTATCAATGAAACGGGAAAATACCCATTTGGCATCCGAAGATAATCACAGAAAATTTCGTTGATATTAACAATTAGGAAGGTTAAATAAAATGTAAGACTGTACCTCCAAGAAAATTGTATACATCTGTTTTGCCCACGAAATGCAATAAAAAAATCTTGTTCAGTCTCTGTCGTACATGCAGCGAAACTTACGAAAATAGCAAGTGTCAGCACACTGATAATGATAGAGCAATTACTGGGACTTGGGTTACTGTTGAAGTGAAAATGGCAAGCAAAGGTTATAAGTTATTAAAAGTTTTTGAAGTCTGGCATTTCGATGAAATGTCTCAATATGATCCAAGTACTAAAACAGGTGGCCTTTTTACTGAGTATGTAACACATTTCTACAGGTCAAACAAGAAACAAGTGGTTGGCCTGTGTGGTGTAATACAGAATCAGACAAGCTAAAATATATTCATCAGTATTTTGATAGGGAAGGTATCTTGCTTGGGTTACGATAACAGTGAAGAAAACCCTGGTCTGAGATTGCTGGCCATATTATTCTAAACTCTTTGTGGGGAAAATTTGACCAAAGATCAATTTGACTCAGACAACCTACATTGACGATCCAGTTCAGTTCATTCACAAACAAGAAATAAAAAACTGTGCGTTTTATAAACGACGAAGCTGTGCAACTTGACTTGGCTTATACCAACGAATTCATAGAAGATTCATGTAAAACCAACGTTATTATTTGCCGCTTATACGACAGCACAAGCCAGGTTGAAACTGTACAATTATCTGAAGAAACTAGGCGAAAGGGTTCACTTCTGTGATATTTATTCTATGGTGTTCACCTCTGCATAGAATGGATGGGATCCGCCATTAGGTGACTCTCCAAAGGATCTAACAGATGAAGTTCCAAACAATCAAATAACACAATTTGTGACGGGAGGGCCTAAATATTATGCATATTGTCTAGGAAACCTCAATAAAATAAACGACAATCTTCAATTGGTAAAGTACGTGGTATTACTTAAAAAATTCTCTAGACATTAATTTCGACTTATTAAATGAAATGGATACATAACAGAAGTAGAACACCTTCTGAAGGTTGTAGATGAAAATAGAATAGACATGTAACATAATTACAAAAACTTAAACCAAAGACTAAAAAAAGGTTTTTGACAAAAGAGAAATTTATGACAAATACCCAATTGATATTGAAAACAAAAAAGCAAATATTGTATAATTTAATGATGATGTAGCATCTGATGACTTAAAGTAAAATATGTGTATGTACATTGTATAAAACCTATATAATTCAAAGATTGTTTACATGGTTTTCAGATAAAACAATAAAATTTAAAACTTAAAAAGTTTTTTCGTTTAGATAAACTATCTACCCTAAACTACGTCATTTACGGCGATTGCATCTGTTATAAAAGCGTTTGACTAATTTTGTATCACTCTGATCAATGCAAAAAAAAATCTTATCTGACAATAAAGAATGTATTTAATTTCTTGTAAATACTTCTTGTCTCCTTTATAAATATATTTCTTTAAGCAGGATAGTTTTTGGAAATCACCGTCCCTAAATATAGACTGAAATGCGCAACACTGTGTACTTAAGACTTAACACGATACGGTTGAATGATTCAGATATTTTACTGATCCAAAGTAACCATTATGACTGCTTTCGACTTTGAAATGCACAGAAATTTATGTAACCATATTTCTTGTAAGCCTTGACAATATTATTATATTTTCCATTCTTCTTGATAACATAATCTTTTTGTCGAATAATTACTTATTCTAAACGTATTCTTCCAGCTGAAAATGGTGGGACAGTGGTTGTTTTCGACATAAACGGTAACAAAATTATTTTCATTTTTTATAATTTACATTTAAAAGGTAGCACATTTTTATTTCTTCTCTTCCGAGTACTGTACATTTATAAACGGTAGTCTTTTATTTGACATGTAACTTAAAATGTTGTATTCAACAATAAAAAAACATAAAACAGAAGTAATACAAGATTTTATAGACAAATGTATAAGTTATCTGACAAATAAGTAAAAATATTCTGATTCACGGACAGACAACTAAAATAGGGGATATGTAACAGCCATTTCTTTCGCTCAAAATAATTATGTCATCATATCATAACAGCATGCCAAGTTTACAGAAATTCTATTGAACAGTTTTAATTCTGCCATATGTCTATATGAAAAGTCCCAAAATCTTCATTAAGTCAACGGGAAATTGCATTTTTTTTTAAATTTAGAAACATCCGCCAATATGTTCATACGGCGGCTATCATGCAGACTTCATTCAATGTGACACGTCAGTTCCATTCCGTGAAACGTGGCATATGGTCTCCAAGAAAAAATACTGTGTGTCTCTTGACAATATAAACATATTTAAACATAAGCAATTTTGTCTATTACAAAAAAGGAACATGAAAGCATACAGTACGACAAAACTCTTACATGATTTATTCAAAAGCGTTCTTATAAAATATATAAATTAAAATAAACTGAGTAATGGTAAAATAAAATAAAATTGTAGCTAACAGAGCCTACTGTTAGTATAATCACAAAGCAACATCAAAGACATTGCCTAGCAAAACGCACCATGAGCGTCAAAAAGGTCATGTATGTTTTTTCCTTACCAATCAAGATCCTGCTATTCAAATCGCCGAACCAAAGGGTAAATCTGTAAATGCCAAGTTTTACAAAGGCATCGTCCTTCATAAAGTAAAGAAATATTTAAAAAACCGCCGACCAGCAACTGGTCTCCTACATGACAATACTTCGTCACAAATAGCGGCCATTATACGAGAATATCTGAAACAGGAAAAGGTTGTCGAGCTTCCTCACCCTCCTTATTCGCCAGAGCTTGGCCCTTGTGACTTTTCCTACTTCCGAGGCTCAAAAAAACACCTTAATGGAACAAAAAATCTAACGCAAAAATATCTCGGTTCGGCTGTTTTCCAGTGTCTGATCAGTATACCTCGAAAATATTATGAAAACGCATTTAAAATTGGATTAAAGGACAACAACTGTGTATATCACATGGTGGTAAGTATTTTGAAGAATTGAGACATTTAGTTTGGCACTGTTTGTTTAGCAATGAAAATTGACCAAGTTGCATTTATATTTGAACACCCCTCGTATGCCTATGAGCAATGAGACATCGCACAAAACACCAAGACATAAGATATCTTGCTACAGGTTAGTAATGGTAAGTAAAGATGCTATAGTAAAGTTAAAATAGAAGAACTGAAGGACATAACGGGATTTTTGGTCAGGACTAGAGTCAAGTAACAAAAAACAACAACAATTATTGAGATAATTTCATAGTTTAGAATACAACGAGATTGAACACTCTTACAAGTATTTCTTCTCCTACGACATACTCCTCAAGGTATATTAAAAAGATTCCTGTTTTTCAGATAAAGAGAAGAGAAAAAAGTATTACATACAAAGTTCAATGACACACAAAAATAAATAGCATATGTATTTAATATAAGTAAATGATAGCGAAATCATAAACTGTACACGTACGCTGGCTGTGCTACAACTCAATATAAATGTGTACAATACCTGAGGCAATTATTTTTTCAACAATGAATTATGATTAAGCCTGAAGCTTGATCATACAAAGAAGAGACATCCGTTAGCTCCTATAGACACGAGACGTGGAACTTTACTAATGTAGAATGACAAGCGAGTATGTCAGGTAAGTATGTTGCATACTGAGTATATTGAGGTAAGAAAATATATTGAGATTAGCATAATAAGCACGTACATGTGGTAAGTATTGAGCAATTAATAAAGTATACAATATAAAAGACCAAATACATGTAACTGCAAAACCATAAGTCTACATAGTTCAATGACTAGTAACATAAAGCACTTACGTCTATTATACACACATACAATTCAAGTAAAAAACACTCAATCATACGTTGATTATAATTTATTAAAATGAACACAATCAATACATATTTCGTCACATATTCCAAACTCCTGATGGCATCCATTTTTGGTTGCTGTTTCTCCCTTTGTGGTCTTGCATGCTTTGGGACTCTTATCTGTGCAGAAACTCGTTTCATAGGAATTATGTATTGAACTGTGGAAACTTCGTCCTCATGATCTGATTCAACTTCACTGTCAGCACTGTTTGCTTCAAGAACTACAGCATGTTCGTTTGTAGCATGCACTGTTTCATCATCATTTACTTCTTCCTTTTTTGTTAAATATATCTGTTGTAGACATAAACGGGAGAAGAAGATTCCGATGTAGATGCCTAGACTTCGGACCTTCCGGTTTTACCTAATGCACAGGTATGTCTTCAACAGGCTGTCGAATGTTGATGTAAAGATGATGTTCCCCATTTGTCCGCAAGCTTCTGTTTCCCTCTTAAGGTTACGTACAAAACGCGGTCTCCTGGATGAAGGTGGGCACTACGTGATTTTTTATGATATGGTACGTTGTTCGCCTGGGCCATCTTGAAAGCAACGTTTCAAGCTTTTTCGTAGGTTGTGGAGTTTAACCACGTACTACGAGTGTATGCTTGATGACAAACTGCCCATGGGTAACGGTTACTAACCCTATAAAAACATAAATTGCTAGTCTAGGATGCCTACCAAACATGAGAACATTAGATGAGTCGCTAGTACTCTTGTGTCGCGTAGCATGGTAGGCATGTACTAGACTCGGAACATGAGCCTTCCAGTCGGACATTTGATGATCTTCTAGGGTACCAATCATCTTGAGTAGCGTTTGGTGAAACCTTTCCACCATTCCCTTCCCCATCGCGTGATAAGATGTTGTTTGAGTCTTTGTGATTCAAGCAAAGCAACACAATTCCTTGATAAGGGCCGATTCAAAATCCTGACCTTGATCACTGTAAATTCTGGACGGGAATCCATAATGAACAAAAAATTGTCGAGCAGAATTATGGCTGTGGTCTTGACAGTTGGGTTCCGAGTAGGAAATGCATGTGCATACCTAATGAAATGATCTGTAGGTACAATGATATTTTCGAATCCACCTTTCGATCGTTCTAGAGACAGGTAATCAATGCATAATTTATCCATTGGTGCCATTGACTGTATAGGGACCGACGCAGCAGTATTGGTAAGAGCTTTCTGACGAATACATCGGCCACATCTTACGACATTGCCAGCTATAAAGTTGTCCATTCCCGGTCAATAAAATATCTCCTCGAATGAAGAAGTTATCCGATCACGGCCTTGATGACCGAGATCGTCATGTAAAGCTTTGAACAAATCTGTTTGCAAACCTTTCGGAAGGACAAGTTGAAGATGGTCTTCACCAGATACAGATATCTTTCTGTAAAGTACGCCCTGAAGTCAACGGGGACATTCTCGCAGGTAAGTAGCCAAGTTACGGTCTAAGGGCTTAGCGGGTTTTGTATCACGATTCAAATAATCCACAGTAACTGATAAGAGTACGTCGACAATGGCGCCCCACGTTGGGTAAGTAAAGATTATAGAGTCAAGTGATAATACAAGAACTGAAGGACATAACGGGGTCTTTGGTCATGACTAGGGACAAAAAACAAACAAAACAATTATTGAGAAAATTTCATAGTTAATTTGAATATAACGCGATTGAACACAATTAGAAACAGTTAAATATTTCTTGTCCTACTAAAGCAATTATTTATTAAAATAATACAGCTTATAGCACTAAAAGTGTCTGGTTGGTTATCTGATATTTTACTAAAATTAACGTAGATCTCTACAACAAAGGCTGTTTATCATGAAGTTTTGTTAACATTGATGGATGACTTTATATGATTATGTAGTTAAAAACCAATTTCTGTCGATTAATATTTCCTGTGCTATGTATTCTTGTAAGACTGTTTGTCGTAAATTTATTGCTGTTAGTTGCTGTTTCTGCTTTTTTATTTTTACTATCGTCCATCAACCCATCCCACTAGCAATGTGGTCATACGGCGGTTATCATTGAACCTTCAATGTGACATTTTCGTTCCATACCATGAAAAACTGCGTATGGCCCTCAAGTTAAACAATGCGTGTGACCTAAACGAGGAAACATTGGGTGAAACTACATAAAAGGGAATTTTGCAAGGGAAGCAGAAGTTATGAAGCCTGAAATTTACTGACAAAATTTTAAAAAAGCAGGCAACATGTGTGTTGATTATACAATATTGAAGTACGAATACTGGAACCACTCAACTATTAAAAGATCGAATAGAAGAAACTTAAAATGCCACCACAAACATGCAAACACAATAATCCTATCGTGTTGAACGATCTTCAAGGATCGAAAATATAACATAATAATATTCAAAGGATTTGAATAACCTAGCTCACTTTTATTAAATATTCTATTGCAAATAGTTATAGCAAATAACGGGCACATTACACTTCTGTTGAAAACATATACAGTTTCAAAAGCATTTCCTTTGTTCAATAATGTCACATTGTGCTTTACAATGTTGGGCTTCTGTGATAGTGCAAACGAGGGTTCTGGTGCTGAACAATATATTTTAACTTTAAATCGTTTGAATAAGAGTTTATGTAAACTAATTACAATTGTTTATAAGTTACAAGTTTATGACCTTTCGTTTGGTGCCATACCTTTAATTACACTGTTCTATTTATCATGTTGATTAAACGTTGCGAATTGTTCTTGTTTAATTTTTTCACTAAACAAATCATATTTTGTCCGACGTCTAAAAGAAAAATTAAGATGGGTTAGCTGTTCATGAGTTGTGTTAATTTTGCTATATAGAAAGTATTGTATAGGCTTATTTATAATAAAAACAACAATAATTAAGATAATTATTATTATAAAACATTTTCGAATTTCGATATAGTTTAAGGGTGGTCTACATGTTAAAGCAATACTAGAATCATAATAAAATAATGATATTATGTTTAATTAAATTTATTTTGTTGAAGATTCATAAGGACTATGAAGCACACTTTCAACTTAGATGTTTTGTTTCAATAAAGTTCACTTTATATCTAAATCTTTTTATTTGATTATTAAACTGACGTCAATAGTATTTTCTTTAGTGTTAAGTATTTCTGTAATATATTACTTGTAAAAGAACGTATGGCAATACGTCATAGTGGAATTGACCAGGTATGTCCAACAATCCCCTTTTATGTTTCCCCGACTTTAGATTGAATAAAAAAATATTTTTGAAAAGAATTAATAGGTCGAAAATATGATATAAAGCTTCACACTAAAAATCATGGGCATTCTATATAATATTTTTTACAACTTTTCAGTTTGAATATAGGGACTTAAATTCTTTTGAAATAGGTCATTTTCAAGGGAAAAAATGCACAACTTTAGAGAAGGGGAAAAGTCCCAATTCGCTCTTTATTCGTTCTTGAAATGTTGCACATTTACTCAAACCGATGTATTTTAAGCTACCTGAAAATAAGAAAAAACAAAAGTGAAATGAGCAAAATATTCCAAATTCATGGGCAGATAACTCAAAAACGAGGTGGATTTAAAAGCAATAATCTATCAAATGCAATAAACACTAATCATTTATAATTTTAAAAACATACTTTAATGAATGAAACTAAAATGTGAAAATAGACAATGAAATATCATATGTGATATTATATGTGATTATCTTAAGTGGTATTACTGATGCAACAATACTACACGTAACGTCTGAGATTTGTATCTTTTAATCATAAAAAGCAAGCTTTTTCATTTTGCCTTTTTTTGTTTTAGCAAAAATAGTTTAGCTCTGTAAATCATCCCTTTTCTTCAAAAGTATAAAAAAAAAGGTTATTTATAAAATAGAAAATTGCCCAAAGGGCATGGAATAGTTTTTTGAAAAACCCCGCAAATTTTTAGAAAAAACAATTAAATAACCTGATTAATTGTTTCTATTATACCTGTAAATGCCAAACAAACCATATTTTTCATCTGAAGTTGACATTAATTTGGATTTAGTTATAATTGTACATCACTGGGTGTTTTTAAATTGATTATGATTGTTAGACATTTTTTCAATCATATTTTTTCCGAACTAGACTTTTTCTTTGGATGACAAATATATACATATAAACATTACACCCTTTGTTTTTTTTACATCTAAAACCACGTGGTAGAATTACTTTCAATCTGTATTAAGTCACAGATTATTATGAAAAGTCGACGTGTTCCGATTGATAAAAAATGAAAATTGTGGTAAGCTTAGAATTGTAGTTAGCAGAATCTTTTCATACTGTCTGATACAAATTTATACATAATCTATATGTACAAATTCCCTTTCAATATTCTAGGTAAAGTTTACTAGATCATCTAATTTGAACCATACATTTTGTGTAAACTTTGATTGACGAACTTTTATCTTATTCAGATGAACTTGGGTCAAATATGACGCACGATGGCCCCGGGAAGATCATTTACATACACTGTGACATGAAGAGCGAGACAGAAATAAAGGTAAAATAAGCAAATATTTATTTTTTAGTAACGATTTTGAACCATAAACTGTATTAAAGGTTAACCATATTATAAAAACGGGTATACGGGTGTGAACGATAACATGCAAAGCAGTACTATAATTATTATATTGTTTAAAGTTACATATTAAATTGTTATAGCCTAGATTAATCAATTTTTGAACCTGCAGAAATGCTATTTTACACGATACTATATTACATTTATAGTTTTAATTTGAAACATAAATCTTCTGATAGTTTTCTATTGCTTATCATGGACCTTTCAATCTGTGATTATTTCTTTTTATATGTGCAGGAGGCCATTGAGAAGACGGTAAAAATGTGTGGAAAAATTGACTGTCTTGTGAATAATGTAGGATCACGTACGTTTACATATACATGTACAAATCAATGCATTTAAGCTTGTGTGCATGTGAGCTCAATCAAAACCGAATTACCCATTAAGCTCTGCTCTTTGAAGTAAACATTGGACCTATTGGCATGACCCTCTCGTTGGCGTCGACAATGGTGTAACTTTTCGTTAAGATCAATTTTCTCAGAAACTATCAAAACTTTTCCGTTCACTTAAAGCTTGGTATACATATATACATGTGCATGTACAAGGTCAAAATCGGAATGCATTTTATACAATGGTAGCTAGATTATATTTTTTTGCTCTGTTATGCACGTTTTATAAATAAATAAATGTTCATAATGGGGGAAGAAACATATCAAGGGCCCGCTCAAATTTATTAATAACACAGGCACAGTGTTTTGAAAGTATTGAAAACTTTTGGTATTTCTCTGTCATTGTAATTCATTATTGTTTGTATATAGGATATAGATCAGTATTTTGGGGTATTTACTAATTATTTTGGTAGCTTTGTATGTCTATCCAAATGTAGATAAGAAAGATGAAAATCAAACATTGACAGCGAGCGCCAAACAAGTAAGAAACATTGGATAGATTTTGTGAAAAATCTAAGCGTATGACTGACAGTAAATTGGGAATTTTTTTATTGCCATTGACGGCATGTGTGTAATTGATAGTTTTAAGGGAATCGGGTTAAGAGGTGGAGTATCCTGCACCTTCATGAAGATGGGCCCAAATTAGTATATTTCAGGTCTGATTTTTGGTGGGTGGGGGTAAATATTAAAAGTTGTCAGTTTTTATTTCAAAAAGCAATGCATGGAGACTGAAATTTGTTTCAGTATATGTCAAACATCCTTGAATAGTACTGTGCAACTGACTGTATAAAATATTTTTTATTTCTTTTTGCTACATTCAACTTCAAAATTGCTTATTTTATGTCCCTTTTCCCATTATCAAAGTTAAAAGGAGCAATATATGCAAACTGTAATTTTCTTCAGTGTATGTCAAATATCCTTGAATAGTACTGTGCAAGTGCCTGTATTAAATATTTTGAATTATAAGGAATTTTGTTTTTGGCCACATTCGACTTGCTTATCTTAGGTCTCTTGCCCCCTTATCAAAGTTAAAAGGATTTTTAAAGGATTTAAAGGGGTAGATAACCTCCAAAGTCATTTTTGCTTTATCGTTTCCGTTTAGACTTTGAACATTATTTGTAAAGATATTCACATAAAACTTGAACACATGTTTACTCTACGCCCTCCCCACTTTCTACTTTGTTATAAATAATTATAGTGCCCAGCACTAAGCATAAAATATTGTACCCGGTGTTCACGAAGTAAAATATATATCGATCAAACATGCAAAACAAACAATTATAATTATGTCAAAGCTGCCAACCACTACATGTCAATGCTGTTTTATTTAAAAGGTCCTTTACTGGTATATCCGATCTTCAATCGTTTAAATCTGTTTAGCCGGTGTTTTTCTCGTCTTCACTCCTTGTTTAGAAAAGATATAAACAGTAATAATCACTCAAAGTCTGAACCACTGAAATATAGTTTGTCCAACTTAGAAACTCTTGATAACATATTTAATATTTAATTGATTAAATATATCTTATGTATCATCATATTTGTACAGATCCAGGGCCTTCTTCAATAGATGACATTACAGTACAAGGTTTCCGAGATTTACTTGAAATTAACCTGATAAGTCACTTTACTGCCAGCAAGGTAAACATTTAAATAACAAGGTCATATCTTGATGTTATTTAATGATCAAGATGTTTGTCATTAATCTTATCATTGTTTCTTTTTATTGTTACGCAAGTTCGTATTTTTATTCCTTGAAATCGGGCAAAGCTGAGTGTCTAACTACAAATGACGTCCCAATTCAAATTTAAAAGTAATAGACTAACTACGTTTTAACTTTCTATAAAACTTAAAGATTATCCGCAGATATCATCATCTTAAAACAATTTCAAATCATGACAAAACCGACCGGGAGAATGATGGTGCTTTCTCTGTTCTGGAAATTCAATTGTTTGAACCTGATGCAAAACAAAATGAGAAATATGTCTAGGTCAGACTCGTTGAAAAATCTTAATCCTACATGTAATATATCTTGCATAAAGAAAAGTACGCTAGAATTTTTCAACTTTGCTGACAATGTAATTTAGAACATTATGAAAAAATAAAGTTTACACGAATTATGTTACTCATTAATGCACCGAGTATTGTTACTTTCTGTTTAATAAGCACCGACCATTGATTGAAAGGCGGTTTAAAATCAAAACTACTTGTTTTTCCATATGACACTTGGAAGGTTTGTTTTACAATTAATATATCAAGTAATTGTTTTTCAGTACACACTACCTCATTTGCGAGTTTCAAATGGATGTATTGTTAACATATCGAGTAATTGCGCCACAAAATCTTTCAAAAACTCGTCAAGTTACGGCGCAACAAAGGTATTATGTTTTATGCATACATAATGGAACAATTAAAACATAATTGGTTAGTCTAATAAATGAATATTAGATCCATCAATAAAAGATATTTGTCAAATCCGTTGTATGTATCTAATTTGTTAAGAAAATGGAAAAATATGTATTTTTGAAATAATAAATACGTTGATTCGAATAACGGTTATTTTATATTACTTCTGTGTTTGTAATGTATACAAAAATTTACGTAATTTGTGCGACAGAAAAGTCGGAAATTTATAGCATGTTGTGAGTGTATATATAAATGTTTATTGAACATGTATTAGAGACTAATTGGTATGTTATGTTTATAATTCAGGGCGGTGTGACATCTTTGACGAAAGCTTTAGCTATTGATGAAGCTAAATATGGTGTCAGAGTGAATTCGTGAGTAAAACTTAACACATTTGAGCCACGCCATGACAAAACCAACATTATGCGTTTGCGACCAGCATGGATCCAGACCAGCCAGTCTTATCAGGATCCATGCTGTTCGCTATCAGTTTCTCTACTTGTAATAGGGTTTGTAAGCGAACAGCATGGATCCTGATCAGACTGCGCGGATGCGCAAGCTGGTCTGGATCCATGCTGGTGGCAAACGCATTATGTTGGTTTTGTCATGGCGCGGCTCAATTTTGAACTTAAAATGAGATTTCTATATATAAATTATCTTGTAATTTAGATGTTGAAATCCAGGTTAATAATGTTTATGCAAGATCACTAATCGTGAGGAGATGTGTCCGGTATATTTTCTGCATGCATTAAGAAATTAAAATGTTACTAGATATGGAATTCACCATTATGAGACTGTATCATAGGCAAACATTAAAACACGTTCCCTGTCGTCACAATATGAAACCCCATATAAAAAGTAATCAAAGAATACGACTTTTCTATCGTTATCCCTTTCCCTGTCATTACAATAAAAATCCCCAGAGAAAATGAGCTGCTCACTTTTATCAACGGCAGACAAGTGTGGTAACTGGAACGCTAGTAACTACTAGTAATACCTGCACTCCATTTAACGCACTCTGCATGTATGGGTCTGGCCCGTATTCAATACGTAGAAAAGTCTCCAAATTATGATACAATAATGTGGTTGATATTCCTTTGTTAGAATTGCCCCGGGGCCAGTTAATACAAGGTTACTCCAGTCACTAATGCCGGCGGAAGAACAGGAACTGCTTGCAAAATGTAATGTAAGTAAACATTATCATTAATATATAAGAAAACTCTCAAACATTACGATGGAATCATTAAAAATTCTGATTGCCGATTCAGCAAAAAAATGCACTTCTAATATTAAACACTATATCTTTATGGGAAACAAAAGAAATTATGTAGGAAATTCTTTCCCTTGCTCGTAAAAACTGTTTAGTTTCAAGTCTTTTGATTTCATAATATACAACTTTGGGGAAAAACAAATTGGAAAAGATCGTACGGCTCTCGATCGATCCATCTATAAATAATCTTACACGCACATAAATTAATCTAATTAAGTCGATCAGGTATTTAATTGTTATTATTTCAGCATTTGAACCGGCTTGCAAGTCCACGGGAGATTGGACAGACGTGTCTATATCTTGCAACCGACGCTACATTTACAACAGGTATGGAAATAATGGTCACCGGCGGTGCCGAGATTGGATATGGTGTAAAGGGCGGTGGAAACTTTGTTTAAAATATTCGCAAGCGTCTTCTTAATCGAGTACAAGTTGTTTTTATTTCATTTTTGCTATTTTATGATTGGCATAGTTGCAATGTTTTCGAATGAATATAAAAAAAACTCCACAGCTTTGTTTTTGCATAACGGGACTGTAAATGATATATCAATATAAAATTTCAGGTCATTATTTTAATCTTTTATTTTTTCTTCAGAGAAAATTCTTCTAAATTTTGTTTTTGTACTTTAAATTGGGTTTTAAGTCGCAACGACACAGTATAGGTCACATGGCGACTTTCCAGCTTCACTGGTGGAGGAAGACCTCATGTGTCCATTCGAGCACGAACGGGCTCCTCAGTAGAACCACCGACGTTTCGTAAGCTAGCTGGAAATATTCCTCACATGAAAGAATTCAAAGTTCCTATCGGGATTCAAACCCACAGCGGTAAGGGGCAAGTGGTTTGAAGTCAGCGACTAACATTTAGGCCACGGACGTCATCTTGTGTTGTATTTTACAAACGACCTAAAAGTAAAAGAAAGCTTCAATTCCGAGTATATATCTTCCTTGTCTTTTGCATATTGAGTACCCAAGTTAATCTATGTATGAATTATTTTTTTACATCTTTTGAGCTTCGGTGGAGACCCTTTATCCTCTATACCTATTTATCCAGAGTAAATATCATTTATTATATATTGCATTTATTAGTATTTGGCATTTTTTCTTGACACATGCTGATATATCCGATACCATAATTAACATAAGTTAATACTCTAGGTACATTTAATATAATCTTAAATAGTCGACTAATCAAACATTGTTGCACTCATGGCATTGACCAAATGCAAAAATAAAAGGCGATTGTTCACATCGGTGAAAAATTGTTTATGAGAACTAGCGTAGTTTCACTAAATCACATCTCCATATATCGACATGATACATCGCCTAGGTACACAATTCTGGTGTCCGGCTGTAAAATTACACAAGCAAGCACCTCCGACAGCTAGCAGGTTAGCTTCATCACATTAAAGTTTTGAAAGTACCAGTATTCTCCCATATACGTATCTCGTCAGCAGCTTGTGTAACTATTATATTGCAATCTATACTATCTCTTTGCAATAATGAAATAAAACAAACAAAACACAACAAAATTTTCATTTTTTTTATTTTTGACTGAGAAATGATGACAAAATACAGTTATTTTCAACATTTTTGTTGGTCATGACAATTATATACAATCTAATGACGTTATGAGACTCTGGGTTTCTGTACAGTGACCCTTTTCACTGATTTTGTTCACAAAACTACTATCTATAAAAATAAACAAACTCACAGAAAGAAAATGATTAAAGCATTATTTTAACAATAGTCATTGGGGATTAAAAAGACATTTCAAACTGCGTGATATGAAAGAGACATTCTACTTTTGCAAAACTTATAAACACATCAATACAACAACTTCTACTGTACAAAAATCATTCACATTTACTAATCTATATTCGAATATTATTGCATCTTTAAATAGAGCATTATATTTTGTACTTTAAAATCCACTTGCAATATTCAATTTTTCTGTAGCACTTGCTAAATATAGTGGATAAAGTGTAATGTCCAAAATATACAAGGGACAAGCAATCTTATTTAGATTATAGTCTTCATCGGACATGTCACAGTATAGAATAAAAACAAGACATGGCATTTAGAATATCTGTAAGCTCTCAAGGTGCATTTCTACTATAACTAGAATAGACTAACATCTAGTTATTACCTAGGAATGGAAATAAACTTGGTGTAGAACTGCTGTAATGTATATGAGATAATGATACTACAACTGTTTAACACCAAGCCTGAAATACAAGCAACAATGTAATAAGACTTAACTACATGCACAATTATTATCATTCCTGTTAAATCTTTATTTTGTATTGGCCCATGTATATTGGCCCAAGTTTGCCATAGTAGGAATAAGAACCATTATAGCAAGGTCGTCTTTGACAACAGCATTTTTCTTCTTGTCAACCAAACAATAACAACAACTTATAAGTAGGACTTTATACACAAGTGACATTAACATGCATGCTTTAACAGAAATCTTTAACCCTTTAAAAATCGAGAAGCTAGCCTCGACTGTTGCTCTGAATTTGAAACGTCCACTCTACACATATCAAAATGCTGTTATTACTGTAATACAGGACCATTTAATCTTGCATGGTTCAAAAACTCTCGTGCCATAGGTAATACATTATAATACAGGATGGGATGATGATGATCTTACAATAGCTATCTTTACTAACAAGTTATAACAAAACATAATATAATGAAACAATGTCTGCTGCCATTTCAATGATGTCCACTAACAAATCATTTTCAACTATGGTGCATTTTCTAACAATTATCTTATAAGTTCTGCTGAAATGACCCCATTAAACTCACATAAACAAAGCTACATTCAAACTAAAATCTTTGTTTCTTACTGGTCAAAAATTTATTATTCAAACTATCATATCTAAGTTTTCATCTTTTCCATTTTTTAATAGAAACAATATCAAATCATGCAGATATGCATTTTTCCTAAAAACAAGTTACAAAAAAATCTGTTACACTAAATGTAAATAGAAATACTGATAGCCAAAAAGAAAGACCAATTATCCTTTACTTAAAGCAATGTAACATTCAATGAACCTAATTATGCTATGCTGATGTAATTGAAAGAAATTATAACATCACTAAAAGCATCTTTTTTTCAAACCAGGCAAAAAGTTGCTCATTGTGTAAAAAATACACACTGTATTATATTTTTGGTTGTGTATTTCACCACTTTTTTTTTAGTTAATAAATGGATGGAATATCTAAATTAAACACACCCTATCAGCAGGGAAAAGGCTGGTATTGCTATCTATGACACAAACAACTTACATATACTTATCATGCACTGAATTAACACGGAGAACTATCAAAACATGTTTGAATGGTTGGAATTTCAAGCCACAATAAACACTGTAAAGGTGATATATGGCGATAGCCTAGTTGAGGAAGACCTCAGTAACCCTCCGTGCATTATTTCAGACACAAAAGGGCACCTAAGTAGAACCTCTGACTTCTGATAGCTAGCTGGATTGTGAAAGAATCCAAAGTCCCTGGCGGGATTCAAACCCACAGCCGTGAGGGGCAAGTGGTTTGAAGTCAAAGACCTCGATCACACAGCCATAGACTCCCCACTATTTATACATGCATACAGATTTAATTACAAGCAGTAATAAGGTAGACAGAAAAAAAAAATCCATTAAAATATTAAGACTAATATTCTCGCATTTAGCCTCAAGTTATGTCTGGTCTTTCCTATAGAGCATAGCTACACAAGTTCTCTGACAAAATGTGTTATTATATAAACTAGTCTATATGCAAGGAAAGGTACTGTGACAATTCTTAATATGTAAACATGATTGTTTATGTAATATAACTAAGTATATAAGAAACTTGAAGACATCTGTCATCATCTATATGCACAACAATAAAATCTTTTCATAAACCTATTTCTTGTTCACAAAATATACAAAATAAATCATTAACAACATATTTCACAATATCTTAAAATTCTCATTATTTTCTATTTTTATTCATTTTACATAAAAAAAGATCCTGAAAACCCCATATACATATTTAAGTAGTAATTAAAATAACATACTGTTGGAAGTTTTCAGTCTAAAAAATCCAGTTTGATTTTCAAACTTTTAATCCTATGAAAATGGGCACAGTATTATAAGATCAAAACATCTTGTAAATGAGAACAGTCTTACATCCACTAAACAATCACTTCATTATGGCAAATTTTCAATTATTATCTTATGAAGTTATCACTTTTAAAGTTGTATATGGCAACATGATAATGCTCACCAGATGATATGATTTATATGCATGAACTGTGACATTTATTTCAGAGCGTGGGTAATTTCTTAGCATGTTGGTGGCAATAGATTGTACCCATGCAGCCAATAAACATATCAGGATATTCAGCACATATTTTGAAATGAATGGTTTTGTCCAGATTAAAAGATTGACAAGTCAATTAAAGATACCAGTATTTAGCAGGATTAGGGTTAAATAATGCTTTGATATTGTTCCACATATAAAATGAAAATAAAAATGTAAATTTTTATTACAAAAACAGTTATACTGTCTTGTACTGACATTCATTAAAATCTTTCAATCTTCTTATCAATTAGCATTAACAGCAAAACTGAAGAACATGTTTCTTTACTTCAGTAAACAAAGAATAATATGAAAATTACTCATTAATGACTTAAGACATATAATATATAAACAAATATTTTTTTAATTTTTATAATGCTTGTTAAATATGAAAATGTGACATGAACTTGGCTTGATACTATGTAGTGTTCTAGGAAATTTATAAATATCCTTAATGAATTGCTCATCATTTCCTCGCAGTTATTTATGTACTGGTGAATCTAAGCGAGGACTTCTACAGAATTGATGTATATTAAAACTAAAATAAACTATGCTTGTTATTATTGATTTAAAACGCCCTCCCCATATCCCACTCCTCCAAAAAATTTCTATGAAAACTGGAAAACAACCTTTAGGATGCTTGACAAATTTACACAAACGAATCTCCCTTTATTGTCATAAAACACAATACACTTCTTCTTTCCTTCATTAACTTTCAAGACCAGTCCGTATATGAACAATCATTTGTAAATAACAGACCATCTTCCATCAGCCCCTTTTTGCAGTCTCATTTATTTCCATGGAAATCAAAACTACACTATCAATACCTAGCAGATCCAGTAGAAATCTAATAAGATTCAAGATCTGCACTCTCAAAACAACATAAGGGGAAAATGTAGTGTATCATAAAATGAAATGGACTGAGAAAAAATTTAAAGTTTCACTCTACTAAAAGTATATTGGTCCTGTTTGCAGCATACTTTGCTGATCTTGTTGCTTTCTGGCAGCTGCTGCTGCTGCTACTGCTGCGGCTCCCCTAGGGGCCATGGGACCACCACGACCCGATGATGGTCCGGGGCGGGAAGGGGGTGGAGCTGCTCCATTCGAAGAAGTTTTACTATAAAACCTGTCGTAGTAACTTGAATATGAACTGCTGTAACTTTCGCTGCCGGGAGCAGGCTCGGGCCTTCCTCTGTCATCAAACCCATTAGCTGCACTTCTTGTACCTGGAGGGGGTGGCGGGAGGTCTTCTGGTAGGCGTCTGAAATCAACAAAAAATACATTAACCTCTAATTTATGTTCAACATACAACTTAACCATGCATGTTTGAAACAAATAAGATTTATTTTCATTACATACAACATTAAAACAGTAACAAAATATACAATCTGGGCATTCAAACAAGAGATAAATTCCTTTCAAAATCTATCCTGTTTCCTTCAAATATAGTCAGCTCTCCTTATCATATAGTTGCAAACAATGTCCAAATAAATGTTACAGGGTTTCAAACCGTTTGAACAAAACAGAAACTGATTTTGATGCAAGACATACAATGATACATGTAAAAACCTTACATATGAACCATTAAGGAAGTACTATGTCCTCTTGTCTCATTTTTTAGGCTAATAATACCTTACTTTTTATAAGTTACTTACATGTATTGTGCAACTAAATGTTACAAGTGGCAATGTTTATCAGGAGAAATAAAGCAGTCCGACAACGTGTATGATAAACACAAAGTGTCTAGACAATGTGTATGACAAACACAAAGTGTCTAGACAATGTGTATGACAAACACAAAGTGTCTAGACAATGTGTATGACAAACACAAAGTGTCTAGACAATGTGTATGACAAACACAAAGTGTCTAGACAATGTGTATGACAAACACAAAGTGTCTAGACAATGTGTATGACAAACACAAAGTGTCTAGACAATGTGTATGACAAACACAAAGTGTCAACGTGTATGATAAACACAAAGTGACAATCACTCAATAATACACCACTAAAACACCAATTTTTAATTTAGCATACATCTACTCATGTCAAGTACGGTAATCAGCTCGCTTACAACATCAACTTTAAGAGATGCCTTCTATTGCATTAGGGTGCTGATTGATTATCATCTTTGTGTTTTTCACATCTCTGCGGATAGTCGATGGAAGTTTATTAGTCAAGATAAACAAATAATGATAGTGTGAAAATAATTTTCATTTTGAGATACTAAAAAAATCTAAATATCAATAGTGAAGGAAATCTAGAATTTCAAATCTGAGATAATGAAAAATCAAAATCAGTGATATAATGATAGAGATAGTTGACTGTACAAAAGAAATTTTCCCAAATTTTTACATTCAATGCACCGAAAACAACAACAGTTAAAACACCTTATATACATATAAAATTACCACTTTACATGCAAACAAAATAAAATGTTTTATATAATTATTAGAAAAGCAGAAGTAACCTTAGTTACAATAAAATGTTCAATGAGTATAGACTGTATACCTACTACATGATTATATATAATGACTTTACACATTTACATATGAATCATTTATAAATTTTAAGATTAAACACTAAAACAATATGAACGCTAAAAATGATAATAAAAAACTAAAATTATCTTTGATAGTTATGAATGCCGATATTTTATTCCATTTTCAAATCAAAAGAACATGTATAAGCAAAATTTTCAAGCCTCTTAAAACATTTCATAAAGGAAAAGAAGTGCAGATATTGCATATATAGACTATAGTATAATATTATTAGACATTTTTTTAAAACAGTATTATTCTATCAATCAAATATTAAGTTAAAATTTGTTCAGAGTATTATAGAAAGACAAAATATAAAGATAACAGTTTGTAAAGCATTATAGCACATATGGGTTAACAGTAAATCCAGTAATGTTTTCTAGAATATAGATTATGGCGTAAGCTCCATTTGAAATACCCGCAAAACCTAAATAACTAAAGACAAGAGCCGTCATGCCACTCTGTATCGCTCACCACAACCAGATTTGAATGTTTTGCAAATGCACATATGTTTAAAAGAGAATCACAACCCCAAATCCTAACGGCATTGTCTTTTGTTTTAACAATTTTAATGACGGTCACTAAAGAATCATTTCCCATAACTGGCATAATCTTAACAGCTGGTTGATAATGCATCATTTCTCTAAACTGTGTTGTGTGTGTATTATAGTCACATCAAAACTTAACTATAACAGATTTTCGAAGTTTCCCAATATATATATAATTATGATATATGGCAAATAGACCGTGCCTCTATCATCAGTCATACATCTTTTAATGAATCAAATTATTTAATCACATGACCATATCATACATGCTTTTCAAAATTATTCAAATAATTTTGCGAGATCTGTCTAATGAACATTTCTGTAATCTTACAAGCAATTTTTAATGGTCTGCATTGAATAGAACTATTTGAACATCTTTTATGAGAATCATGGTCTGACACCAAAGGATTCATTTTTATGGGATATTGATGATGCTAACACAGTGCTTTAGGAGATGAAATTGAAAGGAAACTATGGATGGATATACAGATACAAGTGATCACAATAGCTCACTTAGGGCTAGGGCTTATACTGTGCACTGGTGGGCTTAAAAAGGTCATTTGATACAAGCATTATATAAAACATATAACATGACACCAAAATTTCATTTTTCACTACAGAACAAAAGTGATACCATCACCATAACCCAAGACAAAATGTCAAAAAATGCTGTAAAAAAGGTATAAATGTCAAATTTTTGCATTTCAAACTCTATAAATGCATTTTTCTACTTACAAGTGATAAACTAAGTGTGCTAAGTTGTATGGTAGTATAAGTTTCTTAATACATGTATAAAAACTTCTGGAGTAAAGTTGTGACATTAAGTAGATGCTTATGATACAAGGTTAATGGTTAAACTACCAGTGCTTTAACACTCTAGGAACAGGTCCAGGGTAATGGCATTGTGATATTTACATGTCATAAAATAAGTTTCGGAAAATTTGGGAACAAAAAAAAAATCTGTTAAATAATTAGATCTTTTGCCTTCCATTTCTTGATAAACTAACAGATATTATTCTAAAAAAATTCATTGAACAAAAGAAGAAAAACAATGCATACAATATATATGTTTAAAATCAATTCACTATCCCAACTTCCAAACATAGCCCAATTTTAGATATATTCTCTTAACCCTAAGCTGCTGATAGCAGGCCCAAAAAAGAAAGCATGCACAGAGAGTAAAATTATTCAGGTTTTGCAAAGAAAAAAAAGTGACATGTAGGCTCACCTAGGGGGATCATCATAACCATCATATGCTCTGAAACAGGAACAAATATAACACATAAACTATACCGTCCCTGATTTCCTGTAACATACGTCATGTGTTTACTGAATGTATTATATACCACTGTTTCCTTTCAAACTGCTAGTGGATAAAACATGTCTTGTCATGCATAATTAATAATTTCAAACTATTAATGTCATTTAAAAATCAGCAAGATATAATGTTAGTTTAATTTCATAAACTAAGAAATACTAAGATCTACGCTAAATACAATGTAGAATATAGAATAAATTTTTTGTTTATTTAATCAAATGAAATTTCAATGGCTTATAACATACTCTTCTTATTTTATTTTTACATTCATGTAGCTATGATACCATTCCTATTTAATATCAATACACCACATTAGTATCATGTTTACCATGCAATATGATGACATACAAGTCATTTGGTTTCAAGCTCATATACCTGTGAAAAGGCTGAAAGATTGATTAAAATAACTTAATGGTAGCACCTAACCTGGTCTTCATTTTTTTTAATGTAATGCCTTTTCCCTTTGAAATAATATCACTCCTGACAGCACATACAAATATCTCAGTGCTAGATATGGTGATAAAAGCAAAGTAGAAAGGGGGCTTTATTTTGCAAAACAGCTTGTTGTTGATAATGAACTTTCAAATTTAAAGTGAATATCTTTATACAGTTTTCAAGAAAAAAAAACATGCTTAGTAAAAATGGTGTGAAACAGATGGACTTAAAAGGAGCATAATTCTGCAAAAAAGGTAAGACTATCTTCTGACCTTTTAGTATAGCATCTCATAATGTTATCAAATAAGTATACCAAAGTTTAAGTTAATAGCTTTGATGGACCTGAATAAACCAATTCTAAAAAGCCACTTATGTCTTTGAAAAGTGGCTATCTAACAATAAAAACTCATGCAAAGAAACAAGAATATTTTTTACAACTGTAAAAAGAAGTTGTTAATCTGGTTTTGATGACCTGGTATTTTATTTTGGCCCATTTTACTGTAGATATTGAGCAATAGAAATAGTATCTTGTGTTTGCAATTATTTGACAAAAATTTCTGATAGAAAGGTAGTTATTTAAGTAAAATGTATAAGCTGTTTTAATGGCATGTACTACTGAAAAAAACCTTGCATATTCTTGTTACTACGGTAAAATTTGCGCTCTTTTACCAAAAAACAACGTTACAAAACAAGATCTTTATGTTTTAACAAAGGGACATGTAACATTTAGCTATTACAATATTGAACAACAGTCATTTCTAATACCCTGATAGATCAATATCAAAATCAGCAAAACCAGATTAACTCCCTTTCAACATTAACTGTCTGACAAAAACATATAAACATTGAAAATTAACTAGAACATCATCAATAAGAATAACTTACAGATTATCTGATTTCACTGGACCTTTACTGAATTCAAAATATCAATTAACACATTAACAAATCTACTTGGCTGTTTCACAAAGTGTGCATTTACTAGAATTTTGTATTGTCAACTTCCCAATGACAGTAGTAAATTTGATTCTAGGGCATTGCAGCTGGTTCTTTTTTCCAAAACTATAAGGGAAAATGTCTGCCTTGACAAAAACAGGGGAACAAATGTCTGTTTTCCAGCAAATTTTCATAGCTTAAATCAGCAAGTTCTCTGATCAGAAAATTCAAGAAAACTTCTGTTAATAGATGACTTGAACCAATTAATTATTAATTTTGCAAAATTCTTTTAACTCACAAACATACATAACAAGAAACTCATAACAACTCTCTTGCTTAAATAAATGAACTAAACTATAGAGAGTAATAAAGTTTGGTCTTCGGAGCCTTTAACCCCTAACCTTACCTGTACCTATAATAATCTGGAGGAGGCCTTTCATATGGATCAGCTGGTCTTGGAGGGTATCTATCGTAGGCCGCATATCTGTCGGGAGGGTAACGTGCTGGAGGATATCTATCATAGGGATCTCTTGGAGGGGGTAATCTGTCTTCTCTGTCATATGCTAGTCTTCTATCATCTAGAGGTAGAGGTCTAGGAGGTGGTAACCGTTCTGGATAATGTCTATCATAATAATCATATGGATATGGGTCTCTACCATAGGGATGTCCCCTAGGTGGAGGGTAAGGGTCATAGTCTCTGTCCCCACCCCTAGGGGCACCGCCACGCCCTCTTCCACCCCGACCTCTTCCTCTGTAAAACATTAAGCAATTGTATGAACAAAGACATCAAAACTTAAAATCTATTATCACAAAGAAGTTTTGACATAAACAGCAAGTTTTTTCTAATATTAGCTAACTGAATATCGAAATTCATTTAACAGAAAAAAGTTTGGCCCTATGAGAAAGTGAGCAACATTTATAAAAGCTATATCTGTGCTGCTTAAAGTTAAGAAATTGTTTGACCCTTGAAAAAGAATAATTCACAAATGCCTGTATGAAAGAAATATGTATGTTTATTTCCTTACGAGTGAATGGTGCACAAACTAAATCTTTGCAAAACAGTTAAAACCCTACTTTAACATAGAAGCATAATATTTTGTTCCTGACCATTTAATTCTGTTTACATACAATATTTATGTGTGTAAAAGAAGAGAAACATTCTATGTTACAACTCTTTCAAAAATGAACCATAAAATTATAGATAGAAACAAGATAATTTATCCATCTTTAACTTTCATCAAAATATCAAAAATAGCTTTATACCCTTTTTTTAGTAGTTTTCATTACATCCAACATAGAAGTAGGTCATATCTATAGATAAAATCATAACCACAAGTTATTAAAAGGCTTACCCCATCATTTTTCCACCTCCTCTTCCACCACCTTTACTACTTCCTGTAGATTTCTGAAATATATTGGATAATTTTTACTTATTCTAGTATTATTCCAGGACACAAAATGTGATATTTTCCAAACTGTCAATGATAGTCAAGGTCATTAAGGATTCAAGATCATATGCACTTACTGTTGTATATGTTGTGTTCAAATATAAATAAAGTCAGTACATTAATTTAAAGCAAGTTATACAGAATTGAAAGAAATATTCATATTTGACCTTGATAAACAAGGTCATTTAAAGGTTAAGGTCATACTTTAATAACTTAACATGCCAGTTCTATCATCTTTAATAACTTAACATGCCAGTTGTATCATATATGTTTTTTTATCTTAGTATGAATTAAATCCATCCATATGTAACAAAGTTACGGCAATTTAAGCAATATACAATAATAAAACTAGACACTGACAAGCATTGTCATGGTCACATATGAATTACTCAATGTTTTGTCAAAGTGTTAATTGAACATCTCATTTCTAACTCTAGATATTAATCATATACTATTTTTCTTTTATTAACAGTGACCTTGACCTTTAGGAGGTATTAACCAAAGTGTGATGCTCCCCCTATTCTTCAAATAGTCTAGCTAATAACTGAATGTTTTAAAAGATTCTGTTAAATGTTTCCAATACTCTTTTGGTTACCATTTTAAACTTCCCAATTTTGAAGACATCATTCTATCTATATATATAATATATATATATATATATATATTATATATATATATAGGCTATTCTAATCACTGCAAGTTACAGTCTTCACTTACATTGTTTGCACAGATTTAGACGCCCAACTTGGTTTACCAAACTGGAAAAGTTGTCATAGCCTTACATTATTGACATATCTACTACCCCTTGGTTCTTGTGCGATATTACAAAGACTTCAAAGTTTAATATTGAATGTCCTTTAAAATCATATAGCAATATAACAAAATTTAGATATATGTTATTACCTCAACATTGATTCTTTGGCCTTTAACAAAAGTTCCACCAAGTTCTTTGATTGCTTGCTCTGCCTCCTGCTCTACTGCCATATGCTAATAAAATCATAAATTTATAATGGTTCATTTTGCAAAATAAATATACTAACATATTCAGAGGTTTATGTTGGGGTAACTTTAAATTCAGTACCATATTTCTGGTATTTAATACGATAGATAACCAATGTTCATATTGTCTCTAAGGTCAACTTGGTAAAATTTCAAATTAAGATGATTTGCAGTGTCACAGTTTAGAACTATTCATCATCTAGGGGAGAAAATGTGTAAGTGGCAATATAGCTTAGTTGATAGAGCCACAAAACAGTATTCTGAGGGTCCCAGGTTCAAGTCCATGTCAGGCTGCACATTTTTCTTACTATGTGACATGTCACACCCAACTTGGGACTGTGACTGCATATAGCTCAGAGTTTTGCTCTGTAACACTGAGAAATTTAAGAATGACTTTCAATATATCCTGGTAGTTAGTCATGGTTCAGATCTATTCTCTATTTACAGGACATCATGAAAGTGGCTGCAGAACAGTATACAGGGTCCTAGTCAGACTGCACATTTTTCTAAATCTGTGACAGAAGCTTAACATTTTGTTATGCCCTTGTTATTGCTTGAATCTAAATCCCAAAATGACAAGAACTATGATTTGGAGATGTACAATTGTCACTTACAACAAAACCAAAGTTTCTAAGGACATCACACTCTGTAACTTGTCCATACTGTTCAAAAAATGGCCGCAAATCCTCTCCAGTTGTATCTGAAGAGAGATTTCCAACAAATATCTTGGTAGGCATTGGCATAATTGCCTTTAATCCATCTGAAAAGAAAGATAGGACTATACATAGATCTAATAAGCAGAAATAAATTTGGGACAATAATTCCACTCTATGTGGATTACATTTTCAATTTTATCCTGTTGCTGCAATGCAAGCATTTTAGTTCAGTCTTCAAGCTAGAATACAACATAAAAAAGGGGGGCAGTATTCAATTTCAATGAGTAGTTCTAGTTTTAAAGCACTCCTAAAGGAGTATTGAAAATAAGGTTATAATGATACCTAAAGTAAAACAACCATGTTATGCACAGCATTAATCAGCCTGTGTTTTCTTTTTACATTGTCTGCTTGAGAAATTAAACTGTTAATATTTACATACTTATAATTGATTATGTTTTTTGTGTGAACAAAATATATCTCAAGCATTAAATGAAACATTTTTTTTTTCACAATTGTAGGCGGTCAATTGATTTGCACTCATGCAAAAAGGAAACTCTGATTGGCTAATGCAGATAATGGGTGGTTACAGATCACAGAGATTTAACATTTTCGACAAATGCAGGATGAGTCTTGCGCCTGCCGTCTAATCGTCAGAAATTAAATTATGAAACAGATGAAATTGATAAATTATTCAACTGATAAAATTAAAAAATTCGAAGGGACAAAAAACATCACTAATGGTCCTTGGGGAAAATGCAGCATAAAAATTGGGAGCTTTATTTTTTAAAACCCCTTTGCGTTTTTTCTATTTTTTTTCCCAAATTTTTAATTTGCGGGTCGTTTATGAAATTTTTTAAACCCCAGAATAAAAAATGGGGGCCCCAAATTAAAACCTTTTCCCGGCCTGTATATGGCCAAGATGACTCAGAAGTCATGCGCCTTGGAAGTAAGTTTTAGGGCAAAACTGACCCAGATTCACGTCACTTTGTCTGACGGTTTGGCGCATTTAGTACTTTTAACTGATGATACATGTACAAAAAATAAACTTTTTCAATATCTTTTTTGTTATAGAATAACCAACAACCTTACCATTACATCAATATACAAATATATGTAGTGATATGGCTGGGGTCGATATGGCAGGATTGAATTTTCTCTTCACAAACCAAAACAGGATGGGAAATTTATTATTTAAGCACTTTTATAATAGAAAAAAATTATGCAAGTGTATCGTAAGAAATGATATTTAGACAAAGAATAAAATAAACTGTATACTTTTCATTTCAAAAAGCAACAAAAGAGAAAAATAAGAAAATTATCTGTCATAAATGGGCTTTCCCAAAACTGAGACTTTCGGCATGCTATCACTGAGTAATTATACAAGCTGAATTACAGGTTTTGGTAACACATCTAGAATAGGGTAAATTGTGTCTTTCTGTTTACCTATTTAATTGAATTTTTAATTCATTAACGTCTATTTTTGCAAAATTATAGGTAAGCGTGCTTCAAAATGGCGGCAAAGAATACCGGAGATGACGATAAAATCAACACATTTTTAACACCTGTTTTGATTGGTCATTATTATATAAATGACCAATGAAAATCGCCTTTACAACAGCGAAGCATACCATCAAGTACACCTGGCAGAATATGTTCCGTACGAATAAAGGCCTTTATAGTAGGACACCAGTACAAGAAAATCTTAATGTGTGGGCTACTTTTTCTTGAATTCGTAAACCTTAATACTAGATTGACAGGATAGAACATATTCTATTTTGTAATTCTTGTTGTACTTCCCATTAGGACAAATTCACTTGAAAAGCTGTATGAAATTCAAGAACAATGAAGAAGTAAGGTCAGATACACTATATATACACTTATAATATGTCTCTGCTGTTATCTTATGTCCCACGTTTATAGACAAAAATGGAGGAATTTCCTGGCTAGGATATTTTGTCATAAAGACAAAATAATGACCGGAACATATAGAGCATGCGTAGGATGCTTATAGTTATTCCATAATATTACTCCAGAAGTAATGGTAATTTCCTGTATATGTTCAATCCTTGCTATGTATGACCGAACCTTTGTCTACATTATTAACAATCTCCTTAATTGGTCAATACCAACAATTATAACATTTACAGATATTAAGTAACAATATTAATACCGTCGGAATTCCGCAAGGGATCTGTTTGGTGGGAAATGTACATTATGGAGGAAAACTGGATGATTCACGATCTGAATGCAAGTGTTGTATTGCTTTGCAAATTGTAATCATATCTTTAATTATTGATGTACAACTAAAACCTACCGTCTGCTGAGGTCTTTAATGAAGATAAGCATTAATAAAAAGACTTTGTAAAATTTATTAAAGATTTTTTTTTCAATTATTATAGCATTTCCGGATTATTTTTTCTCTCAAAAAATCAGAAAATTAAAACAATATAAGAAATCAGAAGTACTGGAATATAAGCTTTTTAGTAAACATAATAGAAAACAACGCATGTTTGAAATGTTGTATATTAGAATTTTAGGGTTTTGGCATTATTTGGGCGACTGACAATGTCAAAACATAATAGAAATTTAGCAACCATATAATTCAGCTAACAGGGCTTTATTCAAACGTTAGTGTTTTTATTCGTGAGAGTGGTCAGTTCAATATTATAAATACATAAGTGCAATTATAACACCTGTTTGAACACTTTTGTTTAATTAACTCAACGATAACATTAATTTAAGGGATCATCCTAGAATATAGTAATAGTAAAATAGAGAAAAACAGAATTCCTACAGAAAGTCCAAAAAGTTACCATCCGCGTCCACTAGTAAGTCAATTTAGATCTATCAAGGACGTACTTTCATCCATAATGACACAAAGGTCACAATAAAATATATTCAATAATGTGACAAAACAAAAAACATTTTCCAGAATTAAGCAAATTCTAATTAAATGAAAAATTCTGCATTTTTGAACATAGTGAAAAATCATTGGAGGGTATTTAGTATTTGCGTTATGATTTTGCAGTCTCAAATGAAATTAAAATAAAAATAAAGTTAAATGCTTACATTTAGACAAAATAAGACGTAAAACTGTATTGCCATTAAAATGATTTATGTAAAATAGAGAAAATAAGAATCATTAAAGAACGTTCAAAAACGGCAAAAGTGAAAATGTTCGGTTTGAATTAGCCTGTTCATGAATTACATTGGAAAGTGCAATGTATGTCCACGCTCTCTAGAACCGGCTTTTAAAAGCACCTATCCCCTAAACGCGTATCTTTGCAATCTTTAGCAACTGTTATGTTTAAAAAAAAATCATTTTGAATATGAGAATATTGCAGAAGACCAACCTAATTAACTGACAGATACCTAACCCTTTCAAATTATCATTGTTTTTCAGATACGCTTTCTATTGCTTTTGTTTGATATAATTTCAAATCTATGATTGCTTATCACTTCTAAAGTCAGACGAAGATGAAATAAGTAAAAAAAAAAATTCAATAATAATAATAATAATGATGATGATGATGATGATGATGATGATGATGATGATGATGATAATAATACCTTTATTTTATTTTGAGAACTTGAGATATTAAGAATACATAGAAAACATACAACTTATTTCCAATATGGCCTCCTAGCTACATGAAATATACGTGTATAAATAAAAAGCTAGTAGTTCAGATAAATTATTAGGTGCCAGAATATGGTCACTCTAAAAACAAATAATGCCATGTGGTAATTTGGTAATTGAATCTGTTTTCAAAAGTATTAAGATTAAGGCTTTTGGATACACTATTTGTTACATGTTTTAAGTTTTTACTGGAAATGCTCTTTTTGCATTTTATATATTTTTTCGATATCCGAACTGATTATAACTGATACAAAAAATTATTTCAAAATTTCAATTTTTCAAACAAGACGGTAAACCCTTACTATCTTTTACAATTGTGTCAAGATAATAATAAAGTTTGATAATGCAAAGTTTTTTTGTGTACCTCAAGTATGACGTAATCCGAGTGTGGAATGAAATGTGTAAAAAAATACAAAGATTCTGTTAGACTGATCTTCATCTGGACTAGCCTCTTGACTGGAACCATAATTATGTAAATGTGCTAATGTGTCTATAACATATGCTTTAAAATGTATGAGTAGCTAATCACTTTCTACGTGCTTTTATTTTTTTATCTATGCCATTATATTGCAAATTTTTCAAAATTTATTGAATGTCTTTAAAATTTAAAGTGTGATGTCTCAACAATATATGTATGCTTTCATTAAATTTTGCAGCTCCTTGTCCAGTTTCGACTTTAGCAAAGTTTTAATGTTAGCCTTTACTAGCTTTTGCAATTAAATGTATGTTATAGCTTTATTTTCATATGCTTTAAATCATTTCAAGTTTTTTTTCTTACAGTAAGCTTTCATGTACCATATTTGTAGTATCCAAACAAAATGCTTCTTTGTAATATGTTTATAAATGTTGCAAGGGCACGCGCCTTTTAATTAGAAAACATATGCTGCGTTTCACGGAATGGCACTCTGGTGTACCACATGGAATGAAGCTTCCTTGATATTTCTTAATTAAAAATACTATTTCACAAATGTTAAATTCTGTTTAAGCTGGTGCTAGGTGGCGTGGCTAGCACTTTTCAAGACGCTCAATCCTACCGAGCCAGCAGCATTATCAATTTGGCCGTTTTGGGCGTTTTTTTTAGTGATTCTTTATTTCTCTCTTTTTTATATATAAAACTACTATAGTTTCTGTTTATAGCTGTTCTTAATTTGTTAAATTTATACTCTGTTTGTGGGTAAATAAATATTGTAATTAGTAATTTTGGTTACACTGTATATGTGTACTGACGTTAAATAAAGTTTCTTGTACATGTATATTTTATCTTTTACAGAAAATATTCAAGCAAAACAGATGCGGTCGGCCTTCGAGTAGTTTTTTTATGAAATACAATTTTATCTTACAGAAAAAAATGATTTTTTTTATGAAATACAATTTTATCTTACAGAAAAAATGAAAATGTCAAAACTTTTTCTGAATAAGTTACATATATAATTTACAATATACAATTTATATTATTTAACTTCTTAACAGGAATAATAGCGAATATTTTTTACTGCATGTATTACTTTTTGATTTTCTTTTAACCTATGCAACTCATCAAGAATGTGTGCATTTGAATTAAAACTGAATTTATCAAGTAATGATCAACAATGTTACCTTTCACTTAAAAATGAATTAAGATATCATGCAAAGAGATATGGTAACTAAAGTTGAATCATGCTTTGAATTGTTATAGTTATATAAAAAAACATGTGCAAAAAGAACGGTTTAAAACTATGCTACTCATATATTTATAATGTGCTTTTTCTATCTTTTTCACTTTTTATTTTCGCAAATAATTCTTAATACATTGAAAATGTGATTTTTTTTCTTCTTAAATTATATCTATCCTATTCCGTAGCAATTTGATTGAAACTCGAAAAACAAAATGGAATTTACGACGTCTATATATATTCTGTTTATTCACCATGAAGTCGATTGTTCATTTTAATTGCTTTGTCTGATTATATGAAAATATATAGATCTAGCCATAAATTTAATAATTTTACGTTCAGTCATTTCTTACCTTATCCGGAATATCCTAGTAATAAATATTCAAGGAGTATACAAAAGAAAGAAATCTTCTAAGAGTTTTAAGTAATATGAAGACTAGCATCTGCCGCGTTTAAAATATAATTGTTTTTTGTCAGATCATCACTTTACACGTACGAGGTAGGATTATTTAAAAGAAAGGCATAATGAAAGTGCATGAAATACTATAAATTGTACAGCAAAGTATAGTTCGTAACCAATAGTAAATCAAAATGAATAATATTGTTGATTTTTTTGTTCGGTAAACATGTCTTTAAACGCTTTCGTGAACATGTAAAACACACTTCTCTAAGCATTTGTTGTGGGTTTTTTTGTTGTTTTTTTTCGGAGAAAAATAACTGCAATTTCTTACACACACTCGTCTTTATATTCCTCTTTATTCAATGTTCACTTTCTCGGAGAGTTTCGCTTACGTGTAAGTAGCGCTGAAGAAATGTCTTGTTAAGTAAGTTCGGTTCGATTCGCAATTTTACGCAATCAATGTGGAAACAAACGGTGGAACTTATCGTTTAAGTTAGCTGATACGCAAAATCTACCGTTTTAGTCCACTTTGTATTGTGCACTTGAAACATTTGCTGTCGACATTGGACTCTGTTTTCACCATAGTTTCTTTGATGCCAGTAAGTTTCGTCTGTCGCATGTGGATCCTTTGTTTCAAATATCAGGTATAAGTATTCCAGGTTCCATCAAACAAAAACCTGAAATTTATGTAAAGAAAGACTGTAAGTTCGACTAGCTAATCCCCACTTAAGGAACATTACACCAAAACATGACAAAGGAAGGAAGTACACAAGGTACAAAATTATATAGACAATAAAACCGCCTAATTATTTATTTAATGATTAAACAAAACAAAATTATAGTCTGGTCAAGCTAAAGCACTTTTGGAATATTTTATAGATAGACAATCAAATTGTATCATAATTATAAATATATACGAATAAAAGATTGTGCATTACCATTAGTTTCATTGTTAAATATTTACATAGTAAAATGAGATCTTCAGACTAGTGTATTAAATGAATATAATAATAATATTAAGGCATTATATTTATAATTGACCATCATTATGGAAAAGCAACATCTAAAACTAAACATTACACAACTACAAAAAATAACAAAAGTTACAATGCTATTTAAAAAATACTGATGATTTAGAGTATACTTTTGTATCAGTTATATAGTACAGAACAAAACAAAAAACAACAACAAAAAACAACAACAACAACAAGTTTAATCAGGTTATATACCGAAAAAATAACCTGCAAAAGAGGTCTTTTTGAAAAATAACGAAACCGCATACAACAAAGTGTGTGTTTAAAGTCTAATTCTTTCTACATTAGAAAATAGATGCAATAACAAACTTAATGATTTTCAAAAGTGATTATAATCTGACACCAAATATATAGATATATTAACTGCTAGTTTTGTCTTGTAATAATAGATATATAATCTTGTTTGAAAAATATTCACGATTCAAGTTAAAATTTCAGTTATATAGAACAACAATAGTAGATATGTTTTCATCAGTTAAAATGTTTCATATAAATCTTACTTTAGAAATGGTAAAAATCAATCTTAAATAAAAGTAAACAAACAAAACAAAGGAAAGCATATCTGAAAAAATGAGGTTAATAGAAACAAGATTTGTTAGAACAAAAAGAAGGGTGGCTCAGAAAACCGGTCACATTTTTCATCTATCAATAGGGCATCATAATATCTTCATATAACAATTATCTAGATACAATTCTAAACATTTGTGCAAGGTTTACCATCCAAAATTAGAAACATAAACATTTTATGCTGTAAAACTACTTTCTTTTCACTCATTTAACACTAAAAGTACATTTTGGCAAATATTTCTAAATTCAGGTTTTATAAAGAAATGATAATTAATACATAAAAAGATAAAATAAGTTAATTAAAAAGAAAACTATAATCTGACAAGTCAAAAACAATAACAAATGTTTAAAAACGCCCTCACTAGCTAGGGCTTGACGCTAGACACACGTAAACTCAGTTTCCTTAATGAAAATGAATACTCTTCAGAAAGAAGGTTCTGCAATAGGCATCAAATACAGATAAAGCACCTACAATAAGCTTTTTAACTTTCCAAAATGTTATTCAACGATAAAGTAATGCCGATGAAACGAAACCAAAGTTTTTCACAACGCTAAACATAAAGTTATGATGTGACATCAAGCGCAATAGTGTTGGATTTAATTTAAAAACTGCTTCATCTGACACATTCGCTTTGACATTTTATGGTTTCATGGAATGACACCATATATATAGTGTCCCATTTAAATTTCCATGATCATCGCCGAAACGCATATGCGGATGTTTCTATATTTTTATTTAACGAAACACGTACGCTTTCGTGTTTCAATGTTTAATTATAAACCGGTGCTTTGCGGGCAAATTTAGCACTGCCATCACAGACTCAATCAAACCGATCCTGCAAAACATTTCATTTTGCCGTTTTGGGCTTTCCTTAACATTTCATTTTTTTCATATATACTTGGATATATCTGCTGCTAAATGGTATTCATTAATACTAACTTACAAAATATATGTTTTCTCCTCTTATCTTTCCAAGTTGTTTCGTACAAAAAATCTCTCGTGTAACGAACGCATATATTTATTTCTAAACTTAACTCCTTTTTGTGACTAACACAACAATGTAAATCATTTGACGAATACACTAGAATGTCTAAATCTTGAATTGGGTCAATGCGGTATATCGTGCTTGAATCTTGTTTGTATCTCGTGCACATTTTACACGTTTATTTCCCCGATGTTCACATGTTACGCTTTATAGTAGTAATACACTTTCTTAATATTTATAATGTTACCTGGAAGCTGATCCTAAAACTCAGAATAGTGAACTTTCCTCAAGAAGACCGACCGCCAAAATAAATAAATAAATGCGTGAAAATTACAGTCTCTGACTGAGTATGTTCATCAGAGTCCAACTTCTCTTCGTCTAGCTCATACCCACCCAGCACCGAGTAAACAAGGGGCAGGACGTGAAGTGGTTGCAAACTACCGAGTCATAAATATTTACATATTCGCACGTATTTTCTTCAGGTAAGTTAGTTTGTATGTTATTTTGAAATTCTTTAATATGACTATTCTTTAAAGCAATGTTTATGGCACGCTCGGTTTAAGGTCTCAGCTTCCTAGCTTTTGATATAACGAAGCTATTGAAGATATATAATCTAGTTATGTACACATTTTGAGATTTGACAAGTGACAGTCAAGGGCGAATTTTATGCTCATTTATTCGCATCTGTAAGTTTTAAAGTTCACCAAACAAGACAAAATATGCATCTTTCAATACTGTATAAATGTTTGAATTTGCATGTTCCAAATAAAATTTCAATACACGATAAAATCTTGTTCAAGCGCATTTTAGTTGCAAACTTGTAGTTCACGCATTTCCGGTTGCAAACTTATTTTTTTCGGTCAAATATTAAACTGCCAAAGGATTCAACGAAGATTATATTGATTAGTCACAGATATTCCTTGAAAATAAATTGTACTATGATTATTTTTTCACTTACTTTTAAAAATATTTAAAATGGCTTTGACATGAAGGGTTTCTTTATTTAATTGTCATTGGTACGGCCACTCAATGTCCAGACTTTTGTGCCCTCATTTTAGTATAATGCCTAAAGGCTGTATTCACCAACCTGATCCAATTTGTTAACTTATGCAAGGATAAACGCATTCTCGTTTACGCTTGGCAAAATGTATTTATTTAAATTTATATATAAAAATGCGCAACTCGAGACATTTATTCTGCTACGCCAGTACAGAATAAAATTGATCTGTTAACCTTTGTTTAACTAAATGTTGGGCATAGTACAGTAGTATGTATTATGCCCAGCACTAGTGATGAAAACATCATTTTTGTGTTTATTTTTACTGGGATGCGTCGTAAAAACAAGAAAACATATAACAAATTTTAACCGGAGAACAGCAAATGTTAGCGGCAATGTGTTAAGGCAAAACTATCATTATGATTTAATTTTGTAGGTGTACTCGTTTATACATCTTAATTAACAACGGTAAAATAATTCAGTACAATTACGTAATGCTGCGTATATATTTTATATTGAATTGTGTGATATATTTGTTTGCAATCAGTTATAGACGACACTTGAAGCATTCGTAATTTGACACCCCTAGAAAAATGTATTCATCGTATATCTAATGGAACATTTCTAAACTCTATATCATAGCGTAACATTGATATTTTTCTTATACACGTTCTTAAAAAATCGACATCCATCATCTGTATACAGCCAGGGATCGATGTACATTTATATTTATATCACAAGTTTAAATATACCCTCACAAGTTTTATATAAATACATCCCTTCTAAAATTCCTAATATGACGTCCTGTTATAACAGCTCACGCACCGACTGGCTAAAGTTTAACAGTTTATTAATATTTTAGATATGTTTTAATAGAAAATTTTATTACACTCCTGTGCCGCGGTTTATGTGGATTTTTTTTTTATTTTACACATGACATTAAAATTCGGCATTAAAATTCCTACATTTACAGTATGTATATTTTTTTTTTTTGAAAAAGACAAAAAGGAAGAATTAAAATCTACTTACAAGTAAATATATCTTATCCTGCACGTGCAACCACATTTCTAGAACGAATTCTGTAAAATTGCATAAAGCATATACCGCTCCTTAATCAAGATAAAAGGCAAATAACAAAATTGAATTAAAGCGACGTTGAAAGACAGGCCAAGTCGACAAAAAATAGGACATTGTGACATCACCCAAGTAGAATATCGCGTGATGGTATTGTACTACGACAGACACTTCGATTTTGATAAGAATACAACTGAGTTTTCAAAGCGGTAAATCGAGTTCATTCACCATGGGTAGGCATGAGAAAAGGAAACGAAGGACTATTGACTTGAATTTCTTATCTAAAAAGCACAGAAAAATTTACAGAGATGATGGCAAAAATAAAACAGCTGATCGTAGGTTTGTATCAATAATGCGGTTGTTAATTATTGATAATTAGTGTCTTTGGACATTTACATAAATTCGGATAGAACCAAAATTCGGACAACCACTGCATACTCGGCCGTACCCATACTCGGTGTTCCACCTAGAATTTCAAAATTATGGGGGATTGTCCCCCACTCAAATGAGAAAAGTTGGGGATTTAAAAAAAAATGTGGGGGACATGCATTTACCTTACAATATGAGTACCAAAAATAATTTATTTATTTTACGTTTCCGCATTTTTGACATGTATGATCTGCTCAAATGTGGAAATAGAAAAAATAAAATATTGACGAATACTAGTAAAGTATGCAGATCAAATGGTCAATACACACTCAGGGCTCACACTGGCTCAAATAAAATAAAAGCCAATAATTTCAACTTAAAAAAATAATAGCCAAAAGTTCAGCGGACTATTCACGAATTAGCGATTAACAACATAAGCAGTTGATTAAATAAACATTACATTTATATCTTTCAGTTTTATAAGGATTCTCAAATAAACTGATACATTTGTGTATATTGATAACTACCTTTTTTTAAATAGAACCTCAACTTTAATTGTTATTATAGAACAGAATAAAAACGTTATAATTAGTATAATTACTGTATAACAATAATATTAAAGATTCATTATAACTTTACATAATGCTGTTATCAGACAACTTTTTTTGTTTGTTCTAATCAAATTTTGTCAGCTATAACCACCGTCAATTTCCACATTTCACACAGAACTGGAGTAGATCTAGGTCATATTAGCCTATAGAAACACAGGAGCTTGAAATTCTATCAAAAATTGCCCTAAAGTCAAATTCCCAAAAAAAAATCCATACCTATATAATGTGTTTTTTTTTATATATAGGTATGGATTTTTTTGGGGAATTTGACTTTAGGGCAATTATTGATAGAATTTCAAGCTCCTGTGATAGAAATAACACAAGTTTGCAAACTCATTCACAGAATGCAGCCTTTTTTCTGAATAATTTACTGAAAAATATCATCATCACCAATGTTATACAAATTTTCTGTCATAATAGTTAAGATTTTTAAACAGAGCATAGCTTATTTCACCTTTAAATAAATATCAAAATTATCGGTGTCGCGAAAATATGTGACAATCGGATTTTTCCTGTTTTCTGAAGAAATATTCACAATTTTGGTTGTTGTGCAATTAGTTGTTTGGAATTTAATACTTTTTAAATATTTTACCATTGTTTTCCACTGGTGATTTAGTCAAGTAGCTTAAAACAAAAAAAATCAAGATTTGCAATTACTGGAATTCACGGTAAATTTTGGGTAAGTCAATATCCAGTTTATCAATTTTAAAACGATTTTTGTGGCTAATTGACGGATATTTGATGGCTATTATAAATGCTGGACAATATCTTTAAAGTACTTATACAATTATACATCTCGCATGTATTTTATCACCTCGGGCAATATAGTTAGCAGCACGTGACCGGTAAAAAGTTGACACTCAATTAAATGCACCCCGCTGGTGTTAATTGGGTCTACTGCATTCATTATCGATTTTTACACCTTATATAAACACTGTTGGAAGTAAAAAATAATCGCCAGATTTTGTAGCCAAAATGCAAAAATAATCGCCAATCTTATAAAATAATCGCAAATGGCGACTATGGCGACCGACAGCGTGAGCCCTGCACACTTGAGATGACTTGGTCGCCTGCTACACGCTATTGTGTATGTATGTTAGTCATTACTGAGAGTGAATAACTGTGAATACAAACATGGCAGAGGCGTTGAAGATAGGATGAAGATTAACTGTATTAAGTATAAAAGATCTTCAGATTGACTTGGTGCGCATTGACTTCATTGAAACGCGCGATCTTCCAAAAATATGCCCTAAGCGTGCAATTGCTTGGCCTAGATACAACACTGCATGATACTGTATACCGGCTACTGGTTTTACTAGGTTTTGCATGGGGACTTATTGTAAACAATTATTTCAAGTGCTTTTATGTGATAAATGTTTATTTTATGCTGGCAGAACATAAGTCATCCAGCTTCAGTCACGGATCTAGAAGCTTACACCTCCTTGGGGATGGAAACAAATCCGACTGAAAAAAGAAATCAGGGAAACAAACTTGAATATTATTTTTAGAAACAATTAAACTGATTGTTTGAATGTATTGTCTGGTACATTGCTATTCCAGTATAAAAGTTGTTACAGGCTTGCTAATGTTTTAATATGACAAAGGTGCTAAAATATGTTTAATCTTGTTATACATGTACATGTAATATAATATCAGTATATTAAAAAAAAATTGAAATAGAAAAAAAATTGATCTTTGTTATATTGTTAATTATTAACAAAGTTTGCAACATCTGAGTATGAAAATTATGCAGAGATTTTTTCCAGGATTTTGGGAACATGACCTATACCCATGGAATTGGGAATTTTATTGTGTTTTATTAAAATTGGGGAAAAAATGCATTAATGAAATATTTTGCAGTGATTAAATGGATGCAAACAATTACTGTCAATGATGGCATCTTGAAAGATTTAAGCACTTTTACAGTGAAGAAGCCCTTATTTGCAAAGATTTTAGAACTTTTATTCAAAATTTTTGTTTTGTAACTTTCAATTGGGATTTTTTTTCCAGTGGATTGCGAAAATGATATACTATTTTCAATTGGGAATATGACCCAATAACTGTTATAAAATAAGCCAAAAAAAAAATCCCTGTTATGGGTATGTCTGTTCTTGATGTCAAAATTTTACACTGGGTGGATTTTCACATGGAATCATTGCAATATATATTTTTCTATCAAAACTGACTATGAACAGATCCTTATTTACAGTAAAGTCCGGAAGTAAGAAAACCATTTGTCCCTATTTACTCTGCCACGTTTGGTAGTCACTTCCCCCTTCAGGGCCATTTTACCCTTCTTTGCTGTAGCCAGTATTCGGCTACTTCCCCAAGCCAACTTACTACCTTTTTTCCCCAAAAAACAGTCTAAAATTCCCCTTCTTGTGAAGATTTTCCCTTTCAGAGAAATGTTTAATCGAAGAAAAAAACTTGTAAGCAAACTTTCTTGTTTAAAAATAGATCATTGTTTTTGTCCAATGAAAGCTAATTATTCAATTACCCACTAGAGGGGTACCTCGATTCAATACAATTGAACATGGGAAAACCCCGCTGAAAGTTATTTTTTTAGTGCACATGTGATTTTTTACGACAATACGGCGACCGATTTACGATGTCGCAAATGTAAACAATGTCACAAAACAAGAAGAAAATACGATTGAGTGACATTTGTAATTGTTTATGAAAAATTGGACAAATTGTTGACCTTCCTGTAAATGCAAGAGATTAGATGTATCCACTAGCAAGTTTGTGTGTCCTAGTAGCACAACATGCCCAAGTGTGGTAAATAGCGAGTCTAGCACAACAGTGCAAGTAACAGTGATACAGTGGGAACTGATAATAATATGTTCCCTCTGAATCAAATCAAGAACCCTCGCATGTCCTACGTAAATTTTCTATAATTAAGAAATATGAGTCGATGTATTATTGGGCAAATAAAAAGTGGCAATAAATTGATCTGTAAAAAAATCCCTTTAACTTATGTTGGACAGAAAGCTCCTAAAATAAGTGTTTGGAGGAAAATATGCAAATATATTACGATATTTCCTCCAAATGTATGATTTAAATAAGTCTTTATTTATAGTAATAATGGTTAAACTGCCAGTGGAAAATAAGATTTTTTCCCCAAAAGTATGAAAACCGCGCATTTTTTCCCCACAAAAAGGGCTAGGGCGCCTTCCCCAAAACTAGTGAAAAGGCCCTGCCCTTATTATCGTAGTAAGTCCTTACTACATGGACATTTAATTTCATTTAGTTACTCTATAAAATTTAAAAGATTACATTTTATATCAAATGTAAATTAAATGAAACCCAAAGTTACATACAGAGACTGCTAGTCATGCAAATATTTAAAGTAATTTAAAAATAATACAGTGTCTGTCAATACTTAAGATTGTAAAAGTATGATCTTGCTTGGTTCAAAAGAAATGTTCAAATTTATAATGCTTGATGGTAAGAAATCCTAGTTTGCCTTATAAATATAATTGCAGTAAGTAAGCTTATTTGATTAAATTCCAAGACATGAAACAGTTTTGTCGCTTGATTACTAATTAATAAGCGCAACAACTCGCCATGCAGGTGTATAACCTGAAGAGGCTTTAGATATAAACAATAACAGGATATTGGTGCATAGTGAATAAAAGCAAGTCAGAAGTTGCCATAAGCACAAAAGTGGTATCCATTTACCTTTTATTTTGGGCAACACTTAAATAATTTTCCATTAAGATAAGAAAAAAGAAAAATTCCTTCCTACCTATCCAACGTAATTCGGTAAGAACATTATTAAGCATTAGTTACTTTCATTTTCTTTCCATAATACCTACATCATAACATGCTTAAGAAACCTTTTCAGGTGCATTTGTCACTTGCATGACAGCTCTTGTTTCACTATCTAGCATTAAGCAGTGTCTATTCTATATCAAAAGAAGGGGTGAATTTCTCCCCTCATTTAAAAAAATAGGGGACATTTTCAAAAACAATGGGTGCCAATATAAAGTGTAATTGCATAAAGTTTAATGTTGTTTATATCTAGCTAGGACTTTTTATGCCCCTAAAGGTTGCATGTTGAAATCGCACCGTCTGCCTGTCTGTGTGTCCCCACTTCATGTGTGTCTGGACTGCAACTTTGTCATTCATTGATGGATTTTGAACTAGCATGGCACAAATGTCTGCCACATCAAGACAATGTGTCAGGTCAAAGAACCACTTCCTTACTTCAAAGGTCAAAGTCACACTATCTTTCACATTATCACAATAAGCATTTATAAGTACTTCACACATTTATGTATGGACTGTAAATTTGTCATGCATCGAAGGATTTTAAAATAACTTGGCATAAATGTTTACCCCATTAAGATGATGTGTTGCATCCAAGACCCATGTCCCAAGGTGGTTAGCACTTCATTTCACAAGAGCAATATTAAGCAATTAGTTATTTTCATTCTCTTTTTCTTTTCATAATACCTTTGCAATGCTTGAGAAACTTTTCAGGGGAGGTGGTGGGGGGCATTCATCACTTTTCCTTGACAGCTCTTGTTTTCTTAAAGGTAGCTAGATTTTTTTTTTTTTTTTTTTGAAGAACCAGATCAGTAAACCTCATTTTCAGGTTAATTTTGGGGTTAATTATAATAGTCCAAACTATGCTCCTCCACACTGCAAGAATGATGCTTGATGAACGCCAAGTTAAACTTTACGAAAGAAATATATTATTATTATATGAAAGATTTGTCTGCACTCCATTATCAACTTTCAACAGATTATATTCAACAAAAGTTGTCCCCCGCAATTTTTAACGAAAATATTGATTTTATTTAGTTCACAATTATCTCCCTTTGGTGTCTGGTCACTGGTGTTCATGTAAACAAATAGGCCGACTAGACATTTTTATGCTTTTTTGATAAATTTATCAATTCAGATGCAGAATTTTCATGCACACTTCCAAAATGTGCGCAGTCTTTGCAAAATAAAAAGTGTGACTCTCACAAACGCCTTGAAAAGACACTTATTAAGAAAAGAGGAGCTTGTTGTCATTGGGCAAGTCTCGAAGTATTTCTCTGACTCAACCTTTTTGGAAAAAGTCAGTAAACCAAAAAACAAATAAAAAAAGGCCTTAAAAGCTGAAAAGAGTAATCTGAGTACCTAAATATTTATATATTTTATATTGACTTATCTTGCTTAGAAATGACAAAAATACTTAAGATGCCTCCAGTGAGTGCCATATCTTTTACAACAGATTATGTATAAACTATTTTATATGTATGTTTTATATACATGTATATACTAGTAATACTTATATACATGTAGCAATATACAATTGTACATTTAGATCTATTTCATTTTAATTTTCTCATTCCAGTGACAAGCAAGAAGAAACAAAAGCTGAAAATAAAATTGAGGAAAAGGTAAAAAGAATTGTTACCATTATTTTATAATAGAGTTTTCAGTGATACAGTGAAAAGCATATATATTGACCATATATCAATATCAGATGACAAATATTAATGATACACCAATACCTCAATAATGAATTTCACACCATTTTGGTAAAATGCATGTTCTGTACATACATGATTGGTCTTGTGTATACATGTATGTACCCATTACGCAAATCTTTTTCCTGGCCATTTTTTGTTATCAATGCTCTGAAATATTCCCATTACACAAATCTTTTTCCTGGCCATTTTTTGTTATCAATGCTCTGAAATATTCCCATTATTTTATGACAGCATAGTTATATACATGGGCACCTTCTGTATGTTTTGGGTAAATTTGCAAAATTACTAGACATTTTACTAATTAGTCAAAATTAATCATTATTTCAAAAGTGTATCTTTTATTGATTAACAGAATAGTATTTATGATACATCAATATAGTTTCTATTGATGACAGCTCTAATTATGGCTGTTCAGTAACTTAAAAACATCTTTGTGAAAGTTTCTAGCTCACCAATTGTCCAAAGAATTTAATTCCATGCTGAACTCTGGTTGCCATGGCAACCGAAAGAAAAAACTTAAAATATTGGCATGAAATATCATCTAGTCAGTGTTTACCAAGTTTGTTCAAATAAATGCCCTGGGGTCAAAATTGGTCCCGCCACGAAGGGGGGGCGGGGGTGTCATTGATTTTCTTTATTTGTATATTGTAAAAACTTAAAAATCTTCTTTTAAAAAACCCAAATAGCTAGAGCTTAGATATTTAGCATGAAACATCCTCTAGTGATTGTCTACCAAGTTACTTCAAATAAAAGCCCTGGGGTAAAAATTGGCCCCACCCCAGGGGGTCATTAATTTTCTTTATTTGTATATAGTAAAAACTTAAAAATCCTCTTAAAAAAGCAAAATAGCTAGAGCTTAGATATAAAGCATGAAACATCTTCTAGTGGGTGTCTACCAAGTTTGTTCAAATAAAAGCCCTAGGGTAAAAATTGGTCCCGCCCTAGGGGGTCATTGTGTTTCCCTTTATGTATATAGTAAAAACTTAAAAAATCTTCTTTTAAAAACCCCGGGAGCTAAGATATTTAGCATGAAAGATCTTCTGATGGGTGTCTACCAAGTTTGTTAAAAAAAGAGCCCTTGGGTTAAAATTGGCCCCGACCCGGGGGTCATTGATTTTCCATATATGTGTATAGTTAAAAAAAACTTCATATAAAAACCCAAAGAGCTAGAGTTTAAATACTTAGCATGAAATATCTTCTAATGGGTGTCTACCAAGTTTGTTCAAATAAAAGCCCTGGGGTCAAAATTGGCCTCTCCGAAGGGGGGGGGGGGATTATTGTTTTTCCCTATATGTATATAGTAAAAACTTTAAAAAAATTCTTATAAAAACCCCAAAGAGCTATATCTTAGATATTTATCATTAAACATCCTCTAATGGTTGTCTACCAAGTTTGTTCAAATTAAAGTCCCTTGTTTAAAATTGGCCTTGGCCCTGGGGCCTATGTACAGGTTAGCGATTTCAGGGCCACCATGGCCCTCTTGTTTTTGTGTGTCATAAGTCTTCAAAACTACCAAAGATGTGCACTAGAAACTTAAGACATGTCTTTGGGATCATAATTGTCGATCACAAAATGCATATCTCTGACCTGAATAACTAAATACTTAAGCAATTAAAAAACAGAGTTCAGTCGTGCAGTTATCTTAAATAACCATTAGAATAGATCATTTCAAATGTCACATGCCATTAATGATAAAGTCATTAACAAAGACACATTCTCATTGCTGTTGGAAAAAAACAAGCTTGGTATCTGATGACTGCATGTTATGAATTATTGATGAGATTATTTATAGAATACAACATTGGCAGACTGTAAGAACAAAGCTACTAAATGTAACTACAGGACAAGCAAATGTCTTTGACAAGTCATCAATTAACATCATGCTTTTAACTGTCACCAGCATCTGTCCAATCTCACAACAGCTTCTTTCTTTTGGTTTTGCCTTAAAAAACACATGATGCTCCTATCCCAGTTGCTTTTCTTATTTACATTAGAGGAATAGACTTATATTGTAAAAGCAAAAAAAAAGTGTTTTGTTTTTGTAAATGTGATGATAAAACATGTCTCACTACTAAGATGCCAACCAATATTGTAGGGAATAAATATAAAGCTTGAAATATGAAACCAATTTACATATAATTATGATACATTATAGTTTAATAAGATTTTTTTTATCACCAGACTTCTTTATCAATTCATCAAACTTCTTTTTAATCAAGCAATTATGTTTAAACTTTATTAAATTGTATTTAAGCTACAAGTACTCTCTCACACAGGGGTTTGAACATTTCCTACAAAAGATCAAATTCTACCACAAGTTCATACATGTATATGATACATGTACTATAAAAGCAAAAAAAAGCAACACCAAGCTGAGGAAAATGTTAGTCATGATTGTTTATTAGAGGAATTTATATATTCCTTTCTTATGAAGAAAATTAAACTGGGTAATACATTTCAGGAAATTGCTGAGTCATCATCTTCAGAAGATGAAGCCAATCCATATCAGCAGCTGCTTGCAACACTTGATGACAAAGTTCAGTCTGATCAAGGTGATATAAATGCTTGCTTTGTTTCATAAAATCTTACTTTCACATAAATTAAAGTTCCCACATTGAATGAATTGAAATGAATTATAAATTTGTACTTTTTAAACATTTTTAGAAATAATTCTTATGTTAGCTTGACTTTTTGAAGAGTAGGTAGAGCTATAATACTCACCAAAGTGTCAGCTTTGCTGTCACACTTTGGTTAAGTTTGTGTGTGCATGTTTGTCTCTCCAAAACTACAAAAGGGAATGGGTTGAAACTTTACACGCTTGTTGTCTGTATAGATATTTGCCCCTATTCTTACTGTCTAGCACTGAGAAAAAATGAGTAGGCAGTCTGCTGGACAACTCTTGTTTTTAAAGAAATACTTAAAAATTTCTACTAAAAATAGCTACAGATAGTTAACTAAATTTGTTGTTAATCTTTGTATGTAAACCTGACTATACATTAATAGATAATTATAGATATATATAAGGTTGCAGTGAAATTGTAGAAAAAACCCTAAATTGTGCTAATTTTATTACATTTTGTCTTTTTTATTTCTTTTTGGTCATGAATTTTTTTTATTTTGTATCAGATTCAGATGAGAATATTGAAAGTGATGATGATGAAGGTGGTGGTGGTGATGATGATGATGATGATGATTTAGAGGAAGATAATAGTGCAGTAAATGAAGAGGTAAGTTTATATTATTTGTAGATATTTTGAACAGACATAGTGTGTTGTAAACATTTGACAGGAAATGGAAGATTTGCAAATATATCCAATTATCATTACTGTCTATGAACAGGCTAAATCAAACCGAGCCTGCAACATTTTCAGTATTGCTGTTTTCAGATTTTTTTTAGGGATTCAGTTTTTCTCTAATTTTGAAAAACTATCTTCAAACACAGTATTAAGCTTGACACATGTTACATTTTACTTGATCAGATACAATTTATTAAGATATTTGTCTGTTCCTAGTATTGTTTACCCTCACTTTTATTATCATAATTCATAATTGCTTTGTTCATTGAATTTAAAAGGTAAATTTATTTATGAAATTCATAAAATAGTATTACTTTGAAGAAATCCAATAAGTTAATCATAAATGGTATTAGCACCTTGGGTTTCTGCAATAAAATATTGTACTTAATTATAATCGCATGTTTTTATTTTTGTATAATGCCTTTGATGTGAATAGTATTTTAATGTAGTATAACATTAATAATACCTCACGTTATGTAATGGAAGACGCAGTTTTGAAACCAAATATGGTAGGGTATGAGTGTGAGGTGTTTTGGATGGTTATTCTTGAAAATATTCCTTGATATATTTGATTTTAGTTAAATACTCTTCTTGATGAAGAAGATGGTACTGACAAAAGTAAACACAAAACTGATGATAGTGATGATGATGATAGTGATGATGATGGTGATGATAGTGATGATGATGAAGAAGACAACAATGATGTTGAAGAATCAGACAGTGATGAAAGTGAGGATTTAACAGAAGTTGTAGCAGATTTTGATGATGATGATGAAATTGACAATACTTTACAAGAAACTGGTGAGAATTTTTTTGACAAACCAAAGTTTGAGTTTATACATACTTTATTTCAGTGTGTGTAGAAAGGTTAAAGCTTAAAAACTTTGAATCCGTTTCTGCAAACAACCAGAACTGAACAAATGAACGAAAACATGGCTTACCCCTGATAGGGGTTGAACCCATACAGCTTGCTATCCTAAATTACTAGTCACACATGTTAACCAGTCAACTATGCTACCACTAGGTTTTGAAGACAAAAAAATAGAGATTTGATCTTTAAATGCTTTTTAAGTGACAGCTTGTGCCACCCTATTATTAGTTTTAATACTGACAAAGAACTATAACACTTGTCTTTCATCTATTACCTTCCATATTGAGTTGTCTGTTCAATATAGCTGATAGTTATTGCAAATACTGTACTTTATTACAGAAAACCAGAATATAATTTAAATTCCTAGATTCTATAATATGGATGAAAATGATAGGATAATGCATCTAAGATTAAAGATAACACAAATAAAATGAACAAACAAAATTTAAAATTGTCTCTAAAGGCAATATTTGTGAAAAATGGCATTAAAACCAAATTGAAGTAAATCATGGGAGTGGCCACCATGCCTTAAATATTATGGTTGTTTAGATTGTAGCACATGCCCATGATTCTATGTAAGTTCAAATCCCTGCAGGAAATTGGAATTCTTTGGAAGGTGTTTTAGCTAGCTTTTGATTGGTTTGTTTTGTTTCTTTTTTACATTCCTGATGTTATTTATTACCAATAACCTTTTACTTTGTGTGACTTAATACCCAATAAAAGTAACAAAAAAATAAGGGAATTTTCATTTGTTAACCTTATTAATGGCTTTTGTTTCAGATCCATTTATTGTACACTTTGAGACAGATCTTGAAGAAAAGATTATAGAAGAATTATCTGGTTGTAAATCTTGTAACAAGGAAGAAATAAAGGTAAATACCTGGAATGTACAGTAATGCATTGCTGTAATATATGTACACAGTTGTTAATGTTTTGGACTTTGATAGTTTTTTGGTTAATACATAATTTATTTTAGTTTGATTGTGAAGGAAGTTATAAGCTTATAGACACATTTTCAAATAGGCTCCTGGAAACCAACTAGTCAGAGAAATCAGTGAAAAGTTTCTTGCTTACGGAAACAACAACTTGCATCTGACGGGGTTTGAACCCATGTGGCTAGCGATCATTAGATTGTTAACCACTCTGGCCATGAAGCCACTTCAAATAGTTTTTAGTTTGATAGTTTTTAGCTCGACTATTTTGACATTGTTTTTTTTTCTGTGGTAAAAAAAACCTATTTTTCTGTGTTTAATTAAAATTTTCAGAAAATAACCCTTACAATTATTGATTAAATGGACATTATTTAGGGAAAACTGCTTAGTTTTTGCATATATAGATATTTTCCCATATCAAACACAAATTTGTCAAAGTCCTTAGTTGTGGTGTGACATTTACTAGGTATTACTAAATCTCATATCCGGAATACTAATATGCAGGAATAAAACAAAAGTAAACAACTTTTGTACATGTGTATTTTCAATTTAATTTTGATCTTACTTGTTTGTAATATAACAAAATATCAAATGATCTATTGAATATTGATCATTTTGTATTGATACAAATAATGCCGCGTCACTACAAAACCAACATAATGGGTTTGCGACCAGCATGGATCCAGACCAGCCTACGCATCCGCGCAGTCTGATCAGGATCCATGCTGTTCGCTATCAGTTTCTCTACTTGTTATAGGGTTTGTAAGCGAACAGCATGGATCCTGATCAGACTGCGCGGATGCTCAGGCTGGTCTGGATCCATGCTGGTCGCAAACCCATTATGTTGGTTTTGTCATGATGCGGCTCAAAAATTTAATATTGTATTGCTAATTCTGACTTGATACATAGTCCTAGTTGCCAAGGTGACATATTTCATTGTATTTTAGGTTGTAGGTGTTGGACAAGCCTGTCATAAGTGGTCTGTCAGTCAGCTGAAACAGAATATTTCACACAGGAAAGAAAAAGACTTAGTCTCCCAACATGTATGTACTCTTCAAATATACAAAACGTTTATTCCATAATTTGTTGCAAAAAGAAAGCTTTTTGTCCCTATTTGTAATTACCATTTTGCACAAGCCTGGATATCTTGTGATCCTATGTAATAGTTTAAATGGCCAAACTAAATATTGTAGAGACACTGATACAGTAGTGGTGTTTCAGTGTTATTTCCCCAGTTATTTGTGTGAATAGGTTCAAGGCCCTTTGAATTGTGAAATTTAGTGCTGTTATGTCATTATTTAAGAAATAGTACTATTTCAATCTGTGAAATTTAGCTATTAAATTAAAAAAAAGACCTCATGTGTTGGAAAATGCACTTATTCATGATAAACACTTTTTTAAATAAAGTATTGTCGTTTGTTGTCTCTGTTTTTCTGTCATATTTAGATATGACAATTTTATCAACGACTATAATTTGAAAGTTTTTTTTTGAATTTTTATTAAACAACTGTGAAAAAAAGGATATATGTTTAACCAATTTGTGACTTTCCCAAGGTACTTTATGACTGATGGTCCAGAAAATGCTTTCATATTTATACTTGATTGCTAGAATTTTATTATATGAAAAAGGAATATCTTTAGACAGGAATATATATAGATGCATTATGATTTTGTACTTCCAGGTAAAACAGTCATTGGCAGATAATGTAGCAACAGCTAACAGAAAAATGTGTAAAGTAAAATCAGGTAAGATTGAAAATATTCTCTAAAAATGCATAAACATTTTTGGTTGATAAAAAAAAAAAATGGTGATATAACCAGTCTTTGAATGTGTCTATGATATTGACCAGTTTGCTTAAATCATTGTCCCATGATACTGATTGACCACTTGGCCCCTAATGATAAATGATAGAGGTGCAACGATACCTTTCGATGCATCGAAAACCGGTTTTATGAGCGCCGATTCGATTCCCGATACCAACTGTAACATTTTCGATTCGATTCCCCACCCACAAATAAACATGGAAAAAAGTGAGAGTTTTAGTCTTTCCCTTCGCGCTTCATCACGTTACATACGATTGGCCAGTTAAAACTCGGTCATCCAATCAGTGGGCGCGTAATGTTTTATTTTCGGCAAACAAGTCAAAATGGCTTCCAACATCAATGTTGATAAAATAAAATTAAAAAATCCTCCTAAAAAAATTAAATCAAAAGTTTGGGAACATTTTGGGTTTCGGGAAGGCCAGGACACAGATAAAGCTACTTGCAAAATATGCTTTACGGACATGTCATACCCAAAGTCCTGCAGTACGTCTAATTTAATGCAACATATGAAACGAAAACACGAACACGATCATGGATGTGGACTTGTTTTGTAAGCTTTATCCGTGTCCTGGCCTTCCCGAAATAAGTTTGATTTGTACTGCAGTAAGTAGGCATATTTGGGATTGATGATTATTTCTTTAGTCAAGTGTGAAAAAAGTGATAATTTCATTTTTTCTGTATTGTTTACTAGACTAAGAAGTATTGTGTGACAACACTGGCATTAGGATTGATTATTCATTTTATATATTATGGGAATTAATTTATAAACAGAATATCTGAATATTCATTTTACATATTATGGGAATTATAAACAGAATATCTCAATATCAGTTCTGACAACCTTGTGAAACTTTGTTCATTATTATTTACTTTACAATTTACATAATTTGTTAAATTTCTAGTCAGTAGTCAGCAGAAGGTATCTGTGATAGTCATGTTACTGAGATTAATGATTATTTGCCTGATTAAAATTATTTTCCAAATAGACAAAAGCTTTTTATTCTCATAAACACAATTATTAAGTCAAATAAGTTTATATAATAGTTATATTACAACAGAAAAGCAAAGTACTAGGTTGAAGGCCACTCACTTTTGGAACAGACAAGCAGAATTATATACCAAAGATGAATTAGTAATCAAAAATGTATCGAATCGAAAAAAATCGAATCGAAGTGTCTAAAATCGAAATCGAATCGAATCGAACATTTGGTGTATCGTTGCAGCCCTAATAAATGATAACTTATCCCCTACACTTGTTCTTTAGTGTTGACTTGATATGTTTTGTTTTGATATAAAGATAATATTTTGATGTTGGTGATTGTTTACAATTTTAGTATTGGTATTTAGTATCATATTTAAATTTAAAACTGATATACACATGTACTTTGGATTGTTATGACATCATATTATAGTCTGACAAAGGACAGTCTTATTGTTAGAGCAGATATGGTTAACTTTGTCCTATTTAACTGAATAGTTAAGGCTGCTGATTTAGAACTTCTTGTTATTTTCAAGTGGAGCAAATCCTGTTCTGTAAGGAAGCCATCTAGCTAGCTAAAGTTTGACAGATGGTTTTGAACTTGTGACCTAATTGCTGTCTTGCTATGACTTAAATTTATTATACATGAGATGTGTTTTCTGTACATTTTTTAGGATTTGAGTTACAGTACTATTTAGAAATGACTTAAAATAGATGAATTTTATATTTTCAGATGAACTTACAGGTTTACAAGATGGGCTATTTTCCATTATGAACAATTATCAGGTAATTAATGATTATGTATATACAGTGTTGATACTAGGCCATCCTTAAAAAAATGTTTGTTTGCAGTAACTCGACCCAGAATTTTCAAGGTGGGTAGGTAGGTCGAATATTATTTTTTTTTTATTGAACTGTACTCCCAAATAAACATGGAATTTCAAAATGCTGGACAATTTATACTTTGATAACCTGGTAACAATTAATAAATTGATAACTGAATTCTAATTTAATAAAACCTACATTTTATTTCTTCTATTAACCTTTAAAAGAACGAAAACAAAGCACAAGGCATAATTTTCTGATTCAAAAAAAATTTTTTTTATCCAGACCATGAAAAAAAATTTGAGTAGGGGCAAATTTTGTGAGTCGGTCGTGTTACTGCAAACAAACATTTTTTTAAGGATGGCCCTAAATGACTATGACCTGGCAAATTTCAGAGCAGCCTCTATATCATGACATTGACCTTCATTGACACTAATGTGTAAATTGTTAATACAGGTTGAAAGGATCATATGTGGCTTATATGAAACAACAGAAAGCAATTTTTTGTTATTTGATAAATTGACCAAACAGGTTATTGGTATTATATACTCCGAGATTAAAATATTTTCTGTGGAACAAATTAATTTATTAGTCTACAGCAGACACAGATACACATGCCTATTGACATTTAATTCTATTCAACTGTTACATAACTATGTGCTAAAGCAGTTATGTTGTCTGAAAGTTACTGTATTTTGATGTTCTTTTCTGCCATTGGGGTAATAAATTATGGAAAATTATTATTAGTTTACATTGAATAGCTATAGAATATTGTTTGTTATGTTCCAAGAAGTCTGTGATTTTTATTTTTTGACTTACATTTTATATTTTCAGGATATATTTTATTCAGAGAGGAGTCATTCTAATGGGGAGGAGATACGACTTGTGTACTGTCTACATGCTCTGAATCATGTCTTAAAGTAAGCTAGAAACATGAATTTTTATATATTGATATTGTGGCAAAGATTCATAACTCTAAATAGCTTAGTTTTTAGCTCACCTGTCACAAAGTGACAGGGTGAGCTTTTGTGATCGCTTTTCGTCCGGCGTCCGTCCGTCGTCCGTCGTCCGTCCGTAAACTTCTGCTTTAAATGACATCTCCTCATAAACCACTGAGCCAATTTCATCCAAACTTCACAGGAATGTTCCTTTGGTGGTCACCTTTAAAAATTGTTCAAAGAATTTAATTCCATGCAGAACTCTGGTTGCCATGGCAACCGAAAGAAAAATCTTTAAATATCTTCTTTTAAACAACCCTAAGAGCTAGTGCTTAGATATTTGGCATGAAACATCTTCTAATGAGTGTCTACCAAGTTTGTTCAAATAAAAGCCTTGGGGTCAAAATTGGCCCCGCCCCCGGGGGGTCATTGATTTTCCCTATATGCATATAGTAAAAACTTAAAAGATCTTCTTTTAAAGAACTGTAAGAGCTAGAGCTAAGATTTTTGGCATGGAACATCTTCTAGTGAGTGTCTACCAAGTTTGTTCAAATAAAAGCCCTGGGGTCAAAATTGGCCCCGCCCCGGGGGGTCATTGATTTTCCCTATATGCATATAGTAAACACTTAAAAAATCTTCCTTTAAAGAACTGTAAGAGCTAGAGCTTGGATATTTGGCATGAAACATCTTCTAGTGAATGTCTACCAAGTTTGTTCAAATAAAAGCCCTGGGGTCAAAATTGGCCCCGCCCCAGGGGGTCATTGATTTTCCCTATATGCATAAAGTAAAAACTTAAAAAATCTTCTTTTAAAGAACCCAAAGAGCTAGAGCTTAGATATTTGGCATGAAACATCTTCTAGTGAATGTCTACCAAGTTTGTTCAAATAAAAGCCCTGGGGTCAAAATTGGCCCCGCCCTGGGGGGTAATTGATTTTCCCTATATGCATATAGTTTAAACTTAAAAAATCTTCTTTTAAAGAACCGTAAGAGCTAGAGCTTAGATATTTGGCATAAAACATCTTCTAGTGAATGTCTACCAAGTTTGTTCAAATAAAAGCCCTGGGGTCAAAATTGGCCCCGCCCCAGGGGGTCATTGATTTTCCCTATATGCATATAGTAAAAACTTAAAAAATCTTCTTTTAAAGAACTGTAAGAGCTAAAGCTTATATATTTGGCATGAAACATCTTCTAGTGAATGTCTACCAAGTTTGTTCAAATAAAACCCCTGGGGTCCAAATTGGCCCCTCCCCAGGGGTCATTGATTTTCCTTATATGCATATAGTAAAAACTTATAAAATCTTCTTTTAAAGAACCCAAAGAGCTAGAGCTAAGATATTTAGCATGAGACATGTTCTAATGGGTGTCTACCAAGTATGTTCAAATAAAAGCCCTGGGGTCAAAACTGGCCCGCCCCGGGGGTCATTGATTTTCCTTATATACATAGCAAAAACTTTAAAATCTTCTTTGAAAAAACCCAAATAACTAGAGTTTAGATATTAAGCATGAAACATCTTTAAGTAAATATCTACAAAGTTTGTTCAAATAAAAGCCCAGGGGTCAAAACTGGCCCTGCCCGAGGGGTGTCATTGTTTTTTACTCTATGTGTATAGTAAAAAACTTAAAAAATCTTCTTTTAAAAAACCAATGAGCTAGAACTTAGATGTTTTGCATGAAACATCTTCTTATGGGTGTCTACCAAGTCTGTTCAAATAAACAAATAAAAGCCCTTGGGTAAAAATTGGGCCGGGGGGGGGGGGGGGGGGGGGGGGCTATATACAGGTGAGCGACCTCAGGGCCATCATGGCCCTCTTGTTTAATTATTTCCCTTTATTATTATACATAATAATGCTTGTCCAGGGAATAACTTGAAAAGTATTGAATGAATTTTATCAACGCATTACACTGTGATAGAGACTAGAGAGGGGAAGTGTGTTGTCCAAGAGCTGTAATCCTACTGTCCTTAATTGTTTAATATTCTCCCTTTAAAATACTAAATAATGCTGGTACTTTTTGGTTATAATTTATAGCCTTTATTTGTTGATCACTGACTTTCATATTTGTTAAAAACATATTTGACATATATATTGTAATGGTTTCAGAACAAGAAAACGTGTTATATCACACAACACCAAGATAAAACAGAAGGCTGGTAACTTGGATGTTGATGAGTAAGTAGCTGTTATATAAGTGTCTGTCTTTATTCTTGTATATTTAGTGCTAATGACAGCATAGATCCATGTATATATGCATATTCTTGAAGTCTGTTTAAACTTTACTCTGCTGACAGCAACAAATTCTACGCCCATGTAACCAGTGCAGTCTGATCATGGTTTGCTTTGCCATCTCTTCAGTCAGTACATATATGAAAATTCACTGTGAAAATGATAAATAGTTTTGTCAAGTTAGAAAGACGGACAAGTCCATCTTCTGTAAGCTCTGTATGTATGTAAAATGTGATTTTTGTAATACTAAAATTCCAGAAGCTCAAATGGACCATGCCCTTTTCATGTTAAAATCAATATTCAAATTTATCAGTACATCAGAACAGTGTATTGATGATTGTATGTTTTCTCTTGCACTACTTTGATAGTATAGACCTGCCAAAGGTTAAAAGAGTACAGAAAAGAATTTTGGATTATTTCATAACTCTTGGAGTGATAGCCATTGATACTGACTAGCCTTTGTCACCAGTATTGTCAGACTGGCTGATAAATCCTTGCAATCAGTCCAGACTCTATACTGTTGGCTTTGCAATTTTAGACTTTTCTTTTTTAAACCTTTTATGTTAAAATAGAGCAGATTTAAAGTCAAAGTAGACAAAGTGTGTTGTAGTATACAGATATAGCAGTATAAGTGTTAATGATATTGTATGTTTAAGGGAGTTTAGGGATCAAGGATTAACAAGACCAAAGGTGTTGATGATATTACCATTCAGAGAGTCTGCTAAAAGGGTTGTAGATATGTTTATTCAACTTCTTAATCCAACAGATCAGGTAGGAACTGAATTTCTTATACATTATGCTATTTATATTGTGATCAGTTTTGTTTATGCAGATTTTGCTTGAATTGGCTAAATATTCTTTTTAATGTTTAAAAAAAATGTGACTTTAAGATCTGTTATTTCAATAATTTGTCATGACATCATATCAAATTATAAATGTTTTTAATAATGGGATGGGGGCATATAGATTTGATAGATCTTGTCATACTGACAAAACAGTAGAATGTGCCAGCATTTTTGACACGCTGTTGTACAATAAAAGGACAATGTTGCAGTAAATGTAGATGTCTAACTGACACTATTGTGTTTTCTCTGGAATGATAACACCTACAAGCTTTTAGAATGTTGAATAAGTACTTAAATAAAATATATGAAATAATTTCAGGGTTTTGTGGCCAACAAGAAAAGGTTTTACAAAGAGTATAGTCTGGCTGAGGAAGAGGAACCAAAGAAAGGCTTTAAACCAGGTACAGCTTAAACTTTTAGACTTATAAACCTTTAGAAGAAAAAGTCAGAAAAGATTGTTGTATCTCAAGAGGTGATTTGGTGATAATGAAATAGGAAGTGTGATTTAAAAAACTTTTGGTCAAATATAAGCTCTGGATTAATTTACATGTAAGAACTTTGCTTGAATAATGATAAATTCTTTGCTTTTGTGATTAAAACAAACCATTGGTACTCAACTGAAATTTTTCAATTACCTTCTATGGTTTGATATATGTATTATTTATTATGCCCCCATTTCGAAGAAAAGGGGGTATATTGCTTTGCACTTGTCGGTCCGTCGGTCCGTTGGTCCGTCGGTCCGTAGACCAAATGGTTTCCGAGTGATAACTAAAGAACCCTTAGGCCTAGGAACTTCAAACTTGGTATGGTGATTGGTCATGACCAGTAGATGACCCCTATTGATTTTGGGGTCAAGGGGTCAAAGGTCAAGGTCACATTGACCTTGTAAGCAAAAACGGTTTCCAATCAATAACTAAAGAACCCTTAGGCCTAGGAACTTCAAACTTGGTATGGTGATTGGTCATGATCAGTAGATGACCCCTATTGATTTTGGGGTCAAGGGGTCAAAGGTCAAGGTCACATTGACCTTGTAAGCAAAAACGGTTTCCGATCAATAACTAAAGAACCCTTAGGCCTAGGAACTTCAAACTTGGTATGGTGATTGGTCATGATCAGTAGATGACCCCTATTGATTTTGGGGTCAAGGGGTCAAAGGTCAAGGTCACATTGACCTTGTAAGCAAAAACAGTTTCCGATCAATAACTAAAGAACCCTTAGGCCTAGGAACTTCAAACTTGGTATGGTGATTGGTCATGATCAGCAGATGACCCCTAATAAGTTTTGGGTCAAGGGGTCAAAGGTCAAGGTCACATTGACTTTGTAAGTAAAAACAGTTTCTGATCAATAACTTAAGAACCCTTAGGCCTAGGAACTTTAAACTTGGTATGGTGATTTGTCATGACCAGCAGATTACCCCTATTGATTTTGGGATCAAGGGGTCAAAGGTCAAGGTCACATTGACATTGTAAGTAAAAACGGTTTCTGATCAATAACTAAAGAACGCTTCGGCCTAGGAACTTCAAACTTGGCATGGTGATTGGTCATGAGCAGCAGATGACCCCTATTGATTTTGAAGTCAAAGGTCAAGGTCACATTGACCTTGTATGTTAAAACGGTTTCCGATCAATAACTAAAGAACCCTTAGGCCTAGGAACTTCAAACTTGGTATGGTGATTGGTCATGACCAGCAGATGACCTATTGATTTTGGGGTCAAGGGGTCAAAGGTCAAGGTCACATTGACCTTGTAGGTAAAAACGGTTTCTGATCAATTAACTAAAAACACTTTGGCCTAGGAACTTCAAACTTTGTATGATGATTGTTCGTGACCAGCAGATGACCCCTATTGAGTTTTGGGTCAAGGGGTCAAAGGTTAAGGTCATGACCAGTAGATACTTGATAAACCCTTATTAATTGTTTGATCACTCAGGGTCAGAAGTCATGCATAATAACTTTATCACATGACTAATTGGCTGCTGATAGGGGGCATACATGTTTTACAAACATATCTTGTTTATAGAGGATTTTGAAGCAACATTTGAGGGCAGTATTGACGATTATTTTCGTATTGGTATAAGTGTAGCAAAGAAAACACTCAAGTTATATACCAAGTTCTATGCTGCAGATATTATTCTGGCCTCACCTCTTGGTCTTAGAACTCTCATTGGATCAGAAGGGTAACAGTTTAATTCTTGTCTTGTAAATCGATATCTTGATCTATAGATATGCCAGTGTTGCTGTCAACAGTACTGCTGATTTGACAATTATAAATGTAGATGTATTTAATAAATAGACATGCAATAGTACATTGGCAAATTGATTAAAACATTGTTCTGCTTTGACATTAGCACTTTATTATATCGATAAGTAAATAAATGTTATAATTTTCAACCAATGATCAGCATTTTATATTGATTGAGTAATAATCAGAATTTCAGCTAAGTTATACAGCTTTTAGTAATAGTAGGAAAATCATGTCCATTTAAGATAGCCTACACTACTTTAAGCAAAAGTTAATCTGAGTGTTCTGTTAATGCAGAAAAATGACCTGGAAGCGAAAGTGGAACAAACAACCTATGGCTGAAAAAGTTATAATTACTGATAATTTGTTTTGTTTCTAGAGACAAAGAGAGAGATTATGACTTCCTCAACTCTATAGAAATGTTGATCATTGACCAAGCTGATGTCCTCATGATGCAAAACTGGGATCATATACTGGTATGAAGCTTTTTTTTATGCACTTTATTAAAAGACTTGGAAGTACATGTACGAGATTTTCAAAACTTGCATTTTGTTTTTGTTGTAGGTATATATTGTTAACTCCTATACAGAATGTTATTTATTGTTATGTGTAAGATCCACACATTATTTGGGTCACATTAAGAGTCTAAATATCACCTGATAGTGAAAATATGTGTACTCTTGTTGTGTTTATCTAAACGTATAAAGCAGGCCCAGTTCAGATTGAATAGTTAATGTTCAATATATAAACATCAGTTTTCTTCAGAAAGCATGGTTTCTATCCAGTTTCTGTTGCATGCCTTAAATTATTTTTAGAGTTAGTGTTTAAGGTTGAAAAGTGTTTTATTCACCAAACAGTGTTGATATGACAGGGCAGAAAAAATAAAACATTATTCATTTTATATTTTACAGCATATTATGCAGCATCTTCATTTACAACCTCAAGAGTCACATGGTGTAGACTTCTCTAGGGTGAGAATGTGGACACTTAATGGCTGGTATGTAGCTTCAGTTAATCATTTATCCAACAGAGACTGCTTTTAAAGTTTGGCTTGGGCACTGGTTTATATTTCTAAAAGTTTGCATTCAGCCTTATTCTTTGCAGATTTGATACACTGTTTGACATTACAGGACTAGTGTTCAATTTCTATCTGAATTTTACTTCTCAATACTACTCTCTGATTATTATTTACTTTATTTTTCCTCGACAAATTTATTTAAAAAAAACAACAGCAAAAACATTTAAGACGTTGTTGGCACAATGCCAGTATTTTTTATTTTTAGTAACATAAAAAGACATCCATATTTTGTATACTTTAGCCCAAAATTTTGTAAAATGTTTATCCTGATAAAGGTTCATTAGAACCGAAACCGGTAGATTATTGAATTACAGAACCTGCACTGGTGTTGACGTGTTGTATTTCTCAATTTCTGTCTTATTATTTACTTTGTACATTTCTCAAGGACCATTATTTACTCTGTGAATTAAAACTCCATTAACATTTTGTTAGAAATCATTGTGTTGGTTGAAATTAGATAAGACTTTTATCACCTTCAATTAGTTTTATTATACCCTGAAATGTTTTTTGAAATAAATTATAGGGGGAAGTATTACAGGCAGAGTATGGTGTTCCGTTCTGTTCCAGTCCCAGAAATATCAGCATTGTTTAATAAACATTGTCACAGTATCCTTAACTTGTACATGCTTATTCACACATGAGACTATTTTTTTGAGTCTTTATTTCTTATATGAAGTTTTATCATTTAAATAAATAATTTCAAATATTTTTCGTCGCTAGATACAATGTAAACATTTTCATAATACTTCTTTCATGCTTGTGAAAACAGTTTTGGTTACCTGTTGTTTAACACATATTTAATTCCATAGTTGTTATCGAGTTTTGTCAAATTTTCATATGTTATTATTTAAGAGAGCTCCAGCATATCCATTAATTACACAATTAAAATTTTCCTAATACTAACATTAAACTCTAGCATACAACAGCTCAATTTAAATAAATTACCAAATCTATTATTATGGATGGGCCTATTGGCTTTCCTTATATACAATCATGTCTGACAGATTGTAGTCATTCTTTAAAACAAAACTTCTTGATTAAATTTAGCAGAATGAGCATCTCAAATTGATGCAACATTTCTGTTAATTTCTACATCCCTCATATGTACTTTCCATTTCATATTTAGTTGCAATTTGTGTCATGTAAAAAGTTAATGTAGCGATTTAGCCTGATCAATTTCCTGACAGTTTATCATATCAGAATGTTGCACAAATGTAGATATCCACAATTAACAACATCATACATTTATAAGTAATTAGATACCTTGAAGATATTTTACACAGAAAACTGGGGGAGCTTTTCTTATCTTATTTGCTGTTGTGACATATCTTGCAAACTGTACAGTTCCCTTGATTGGAAGTTAATTGATTAGAATTTGTTATTAGACTGAAAAATAAAACCTTAAACTTGACTAATGTGTGGGTAAGTGGTTTGTATTAATTCAAATTGGAAAGACAATAATCTTTTCGGGTATTAATTACCCTATTAGATTTTGAGACATTGGGGTCAATTTGCATTAATCTTTCATTGAAAATTTGAAATACCCAATTATTTTTTATATGAATGGGTATTACCTATTTACCTGTGAAAGCTTATCTGGAGCTATGAATGATTTTAAATAACATTATCATGGTTTTCATTATTAACCGATTGGCAATTCAAACCATCGGTTAAAAAGCTGTTAATATCAGTTGTATTTTCATCCTGTACATTAAAGTATCACCCTTGACCCTCGGCAAAATCAGTTGTTTTCTTTGAAGCATCTGTTGTCTCAGATAAAAATGAAAACCCTGCATTATTATGTAGATCTATTACATATTAGTGTATTTTAGGACAGTTACTTTTCAGCCTTATGTATTAGTGTATTGTAAAATTGATCTTTTTGTATTTAAATAAGAATATACTTCTATATAATCAGACATTTTTAAACAGCCTTATTCTGCATTATATAACATTTTTACCAGAGTAGATGATAATAACTGTAACATGTCAGACCAGACTCCCACATCAGTCTGTATATATATATATTAGATTGTCCTTAACTATGACTACAGATTATGCAGGAAAGGTGGAGTTTATACGTCCACCAAGTACCGGCACTATATGTCAGATTACTGCTCAGCTTCCTCAGGTAATGTTTATCATTATATGTTGGGGGATGTCCGAGGTCGAGTTTAAGGTTGTTGACTTCATGTTCAAACCACTTGCAGGGACTTTGGATTCTTCCATGTGAGGAATCTATCTAGCTAGGTTAAGGAAGGCCAGTGGTTCTACTCATAGGCTTGTTCGTGCCTGAAATAATGCACGGAAGGGCACCTGATGTCTCCCACCACCAGTAAAGCTGGAAAGTCTCCATATGACCTTTACTGTGTGGGTGCGGGGTAAAACCCAACCAAAAGAAAAAAAAATTATATTACCATGGAAATTATTTACATGATGAGTATACAGTACAGTTCATGTAGATTGTAAAGTAATGCTTGTGTTATGATCAGTAAAACAACAATAATTCTAGTTCTAATGACGTTATGATATCAGACCAATCTTAAATGTTACATAGCTTCCTTAATTGATGTTTTTATTGTGATCTTTTAATTTAAATGATGTCATATTTATAAATGCCATAAAATTCATAATGAATAGTATTACATGTAGCATAATCATAAAATATAAATTTTGAACACTATTTTCAGTCATTTTGACCCATCAATTTACAATAAATTAAGTATACATACTTGTATGCTTCCTAAAAACAATCACAATAGTTAATTCTCTTGAAATAGCATTTTTGATAAAAATTATACAACACTGAGTGCTTACTGCTAGTGCATATATTTAGAACTATCAGTCTGGTTTAAAAGAATAGGACAGGGATTTGAAAAGTTGTTGTTATCTTGTTTTTTTTTCTTCACTGAAATAAATGATAAATTTTGACGAATGAAATGGTTGATTAATATGTAAATATTAATATAATGTTCCTGATTACAGGTATTTCACCGTATTGATAGTACAGCATATAGCAAGGTTCCAGATGACAGATTTGATTTCTTCATTAAAAAGGTATATAGGATTTTCACATTATGACCTTACTTTATTATAAAGCTGTAACATTTAAATAGAGATAAGTGACATGCCTTGATGTATGATACAGTAATGGGTACATTTGCATAATTTGAAGAGATAGAGATGATGATTTTTAGACTTTTAAAGAAGTTTTTAGACTCTTAAGAAAGGCTAAATTAAGATTTACTTTTGTGTATGCATGGATTTGATTTCGACTGTATAACTAGATCTGGAATCTCGAGGCACTGGTTATCATGATGACTTGTATATTTTCAGGTTTTTCCTCATCATTCAGTAGCTGGAATGTCATGGACACTTGTATTCATACCATGATAACTTGTATATTTTCAGGTTTTACCTCATCATTCAGTAGCTGGAATGTCACACACACTTATATTTATACCATGATGACTTGTATATTTTCAGGTTGTTCCTCATCATTCAGTAGCTGGAATGTCACAGACACTTATATTTATACCATGATGACTTGTATATTTTCAGGTTTTACCTCCTCATTCAGTAGCTGGCATGTCACAGACACTTATATTTATACCATGATGACTTGTATATTTTCAGGTTGTTCCTCATCATTCAGTAGCTGGAATGTCACAGACACTTATATTTATACCATGATGACTTGTATATTTTCAGGTTTTACCTCCTCATTCAGTAGCTGGCATGTCACACACACTTATATTTATACCATGATGACTTGTATATTTTCAGGTTGTTCCTCATCATTCAGTTGCTGGAATGTCACATACACTTGTATTTATACCATGATGACTTGTATATTTTCAGGTTTTTCCTCATCATTTAGTAGCTGGCATGTCACAGACACTTATATTTATACCATGATGACTTGTATATTTTCAGGTTTTTCCTCCTCATTCAGTAGCTGGCATGTCACAGACACTTATATTTATACCATGATGACTTGTATATTTTCAGGTTGTTCCTCATCATTCAGTAGCTGGCATGTCACAGACACTTATATATATACCATGATGACTTGTATATTTTCAGGTTTTTCCTCACCATTCAGTAGCTGGAATGTCACACACACTTATATTTATACCATGATGACTTGTATATTTTCAGGTTTTACCTCATCATTCAGTTGCTGGAATGTCACATACACTTGTATTTATACCATGATGACTTGTATATTTTCAGGTTTTTCCTCACCATTCAGTAGCTGGAATGTCATGGACACTTGTATTCATACATGATAACTTGTATATTTTCAGGTTTTTCCTCATCATTCAGTAGCTGGAATGTCACACACACTTATATTTATACCATGAGAACTTGTATATTTTCAGGTTTTACCTCCCTATTCAATAGCTGGCATGTCACAGACACTTATATATATACCATGATGACTTGTATATTTTCAGGTTTTACCTCATCATTCAGTAGCTGGAATGTCACACACACTTATATTTATACCATGATGACTTGTATATTTTCAGGTTGTTCCTCATCATTCAGTAGCTGGAATGTCACACACACTTATATTTATACCATGATGACTTGTATATTTTCAGGTTTTTCCTCACCATTCAGTAGCTGGAATGTCACACACACTTATATTTATACCATGATGACTTGTATATTTTCAGGTTTTACCTCCTCATTCAGTAGCTGGCATGTCACACACACTTGTATTTATACCATGATAACTTGTATATTTTCAGGTTTTACCTCCCTATTCAATAGCTGGAATGTCATGGACACTTGTATTTATACCATGATGACTTGTATATTTTCAGGTTGTTCCTCATCATTTAGTAGCTGGCATGTCACACACACTTGTATTTATACCATGATAACTTGTATATTTTCAGGTTTTACCTCCCTATTCAATAGCTGGAATGTCATGGACACTTGTATTTATACCATGATGACTTGTATATTTTCAGGTTGTTCCTCATCATTTAGTAGCTGGCATGTCACACACACTTGTATTTATACCATGATAACTTGTATATTTTCAGGTTTTACTCCCTATTCAATAGCTGGAATGTCATGGACACTTGTATTTATACCATGATGACTTGTATATTTTCAGGTTTTTCCTCACCATTCAGTTGCTGGAATGTCACAGACACTTGTATTTATACCATGAGAACTTGTATATTTTCAGGTTTTTCCTCATCATTCAGTTGCTGGAATGTCACAGACACTTGTATTTATACCATGAGAACTTGTATATTTTCAGGTTTTTCCTCATCATTCAGTTGCTGGAATGTCACAGACACTTGTATTTACCATGAGAACTTGTATATTTTCAGGTTTTTCCTCACCATTCAGTTGCTGGAATGTCACAGACACTTATATTTATACCATCATATTTTGACTTTGTTAGACTGAGGAACTATTTCAAGAGAGAAGAAATCAACTTTGTTCAGATTTGCGAGTATGTTTTTGAAAACTGAATATATCAAACATTATAATGAAAAACATATTACATGCTTTATATTACTATACATTGTGTCTCTGTATAGAAGAAATACAGAAAGGTTTTATTGTAATTAAATTAAAGTTGTTTTAATCTTGATTCATCATGGAAAAGTAATTTCTGTTTTGTTGTTAGAAATAATGAATACAGGCTTCTCTCCCTTATATTAACATTTCAGGATGAGTTTTAAGTTCTAGTTTCTATTGTTTGAAATGTTCAAGAGCTTCATCTATGTTGCAGGTACACAAAGGATAAAACAGTGAACACTGCCAGGAATTTATTTTATCATAAAAAAGTTCCTTATCTTTTGTACACAGAAAGGTTTCATTTCTATAAAAGGTAAAATTATACTTTATCTTGGACAAAAAGTAGTATTTGATATACATGTATGTTTAAAATCCCATATTCACTCTTCAGCAATTTGAGATGGTAATTGCAGGATTTGCCACCAGTATAAAGCCAGGTCAATCTACATAAACATGCACTAGTTATCTGGCCAAACTTGTGCTAAATTGTAGTATTGGAGTTTTGTCAGGAATAAGAAAGATTGTCTTATTTATATCCCTGGTGAAATTTGATATAGATGTTTCCATTTACAAAGGAACAAAAATAGCCCAGTGCTCAAGATCAGCAAGTAAATGTTAAATAACTTGTACATTCCTAATGTATATTTCTTATAACTTGTGTCACTTTTCTAAGAAAAATATGGGTTTTTATATACATGCAAAGTACTTATTATAAACTTTAACTTTGTTAAGTATACTATATTCATTTATTTTTATTTGTAATTTATTTATTTAAAAAACATACACATTTATTTGATAAGTGTGATTCCATATTATACTGTTATTTTCATTTACTTTATTACATTGTTTTACAGGGTAAAATTGCGCGGTATTCGTCACATTGTGTTTTATGGTTTACCACAGTACCCGATTCTGTACAGTGAAATGTGTAATATGCTACACGACGCTAAGAGCAAACACCGTGCAGATAACCAGACATGCACTGTGATATATTCAAAATATGACGCTCAGAAGTTAGCAGAAATTGTTGGCACAGAACGTGCAGGGCAGATGGTTCATTCGCCGAAATCTGTACATATGTTTGTTACAGGAGAAAATGGCTAAATAAATTTCAAAGAGACAGTACTTGTATTTTTATTTGCTCACCTGAGCACAGTGCTTCAATGTGTCATCATTTGTACATTGTTGTCCACAGTTTATTTACGATGAGCATATGATAGATTTTAACCAAACTCCACAGAAACTACAATGACCAGAGCTTGGATGAATATAGCATTACGTTGTGTTTCTCTACAAAATTTATATGAATAATGGGACAGGGGTAAAAAAAATTAGCCCTACCCAAGGGTCACACTTATTACATTGACTAATTGGAAATAAAGGATTTCTTTGTCCAAGCTTCTAGATAATTGGCTTGCAGTATTGCATTATAGCTAAGTTACAGAAATCATGCCCTTTCAAATCGGTCCAGACTTAGATGTCAATTAATTTACATATTTTTGTATATGAAAAGTATCTTGTGTGTGATTACATGGTTTACAGCTTAGATGTAGTTGATCCGTAGGAAAGTTATCTTTATCCCCCCCCCCCCCGTCAAATTGTCCATGCACTATCGACGTGTACTGTCCTGCTGTCGTTTTGGATCGACTTGTATTAGGTAAGCCATTCAAATCTTGAGTGTGTTACTACATGACCCAGAACTTAAAAGTACAGATGTCTAATTCTACCATTATTTTTGGCTAAGAAATTGTCTACTACCATTTAGTCACATTTGTTTCTCTAAATTATATGCAAGAAATCTTGCTTTAAAACTAAAAAAAGAGCAATGCTCAGAGCTAGTAGCTTCACCATTATGCCTTCTAAATCATACCCGCAAGTACGTACCAAAAGTACATTTAATCCTCGCATTGCCTACAGTTGTGATGAAGTGTATTTGGCAAGTAGGATAACCAAGTGTGCTAATACTTCTGTCATTTGGATAATAATCTAAGACAACAATGGCCCTGATTAAATTGACAATAAGACCTATTTATGCATTTACAATTGTGACTTTCAAGAAATGCATCTTGGGTGTATCATGGCCTACTTTCGTTTGAAATATTAACTTGTTTACAATGCAATTGTCAGATAATTGTATTACTGTAGCTCCATCAATACTCAGAAATTCACAAATTTAAGTGGTTCAGTAGTTTCTCGTATGTCAAAGCAAAACACTATTTTATAAAATGAAAAACCAATGTCATGTGTTACTAACTTGACCTTTATCGTGATGATTTTTGTTTGAAAATTATCTTGGTTCTAAAATACTTCACCATAGTACAAAACGCATGGGTGCAAGTTTTCAGGCATATGCCTGAAGCTCAAGTTTTTTGTGACAAACTTCATCATGTTTTACCATTACATTATATAGGAAAATGTTTATGAATAAAGGTTTTCAGGTTTTTGCAAATTTTCAACTTGCACCCATGAAAACGGCATAAAACATACAATTTCAATTTGTTATATAGATAAACTAGGATACCTAAAGTGAAAACTATGGAAATATAATTAAAAAGTATTTAGAATTAGATTGAAAAGAGTTTATGTGATTTCCAGCCTGATGTGAGTTAAAAGTATTGAGACGCTTTTTATTTTTTGTCATTTTTCACAAGTCAAATAAACGCAAGCTACTGGCACAGACGTATACAAACCTTCACGTCATGTTTAAACACGACAGTGAAGTTCTCTTTACACTGAATGAAAAAAAAAGAGAGAAATATCTATGGAATTTATTTTTGGATTTCACATCTAAATGCACTAATTTTGCCGTTCGGTTAGTGTGGATTTAATTTAAAGGCACAGTATCAGAATAATGCAGCGATCAATGTGTAACGTAAAAAAACCTAAAGTCGTCATGATGTGACCTTAAAATGAATGCAAGTTTGACAGTTGTGAAAATACTGGTTCCCCGTTTGAAGTAGCATTTAGGGGCACTATTTACGCTCACAGTGATATACTCACGGCCTTTCTATGTGTAAAGTAGTGTGAATAAAGAAGAAATTATAGAGCGGGGGTCCAGCTGACGACGTTTGGTTTAGTTAAACCTAACGTCGTCAGAAGCATGTGCCAAAGATCGTCAGTATGAACCTTAAGTCGTCATATTTTAAGATTTTTAAAAAAATAGGCAAGTCAAACACAATGAAACACATTTCATGGCAATTTTCAAATGAAATTTTATTTTGTTGACAATTTACTTACAAATTTTTAATTGAGTTTTATAATTCTAATTGGACAAGTACTTGATTAAATTACAGAAAATACATAACATTAGTTTGCATGAAAACAGATAAAATCTTATACGAGAACCATTTTGAAAAAAATTTAACTATACAGTTGTCATAGTATATATTAAGGCATTAAATGTGAAAGTTTCGTTCAACTTGACAGTATCAACCATGATTTTCTAACAGTTAACTTTAACAACAACTGATATGAATTAAGTAACTAACTTAACAAAATAACTACACTCAAATCTTTATATCAACAGAATTTAAACAATGACACGTCTCTGACCTACACTGACTTAATGGAGACACTTGACACATGACACGTTTCAGATATTTTCACATCAAAAATCACTTATCAAAGATTTTCAAAAATTTCACTACTAATTTATTCAGAATTTAATTTCCACATTACATGTATTTAGCTACGTGTAGAAGCTAATTCCATGACCTTTACATAAATACAGCTATGCTTTTCAGCCACTGCCTTTACTGAATGTATGTCGGCTCCCTCGACTTTAAATGCAATTGCACAGGTTTGCTGCGGTCCAACACGACGACATTTTACAGTGGATGGCTCGATAGGTCTAAGATAGTATCTTGACTTAGCTTTGTTTTCAATTATGATATCACGAACCGCCTTGGCAGAATCACGTTTCAAGTTACCCACTTTTCTTGAACCATCGTACACGGCGACAGCATTGGTATCATAAACATTATTTGGCTCAAGTTCAACATAATAGGATCCCATAAGGTCAAGCTCACGGCGTCCGTAGTGATGCAATCCAACAACCTGGATATTTCTAAGAACAATTTTCTTCATGCTGTATCTTTGTTACCTGAAGATAAAAAGGAAATGTCAGTGTGTCAAATACCACATAGTCGATTATACTGTGTTAGTAAGCGTGTTAGTAACATTTACAGTACCTGGTGTTTCCTTCCCTTTCTTTTTCAGCAGTCTTAGTTTCTGTTTTTCCCGTTTAACTTGCAATTTCTGTTCCTTTTGTTTTTCTCTTAACTCTTTTTTAAATTTAATTTCTTCTTTTTTCTTTTGCATTTCATTTTCTCTTTTTATCTTTTTATTAAGCCTTTCTTGCTTTCGTTGCTCCTTCTGTTCCAAAAGTAGTTTTTTCTTTTCCTCCTTTTCCTCTATTTCACGCTGAACTTCTTCACTTGTAAGAACCCTAGCTTTGCCAGCCTCTCTTTTTGTTGATTTTGTTGGTATGGGTGGCACAACTAGGACATTGACTAAATCATCAGGAATGAGTCCAGCCTTGACTAGAGGATGGTCAGTGACTGAGACGGATGGCGACACTGACGTAACATCTGGAGTGGCGAAATATATCTGATCTGATAGATCGTCTGGAAGAGACTCGGCTACTTTAGTTTTAAGATTGCGATACGTCTGAAATTTTGGGTCTGGCAGGTCGATCTTCATGTCGTAACATTCTTCATATTTAAGTTTCTTGCGAGGAGTTAAGGATAACTCTAACGCCGACAAGGCTAGCTCAGGTGGGCACTCCTGTGTGCCATTTTGAACGGAAGCGGGAATGTTACATTCAGGTAAGACTGGTTCAAGTGTGAGAATACCATCATCTCCTACAGTAAAACTTATATCAATGAGTGACTGATCATTTTCTGAAATGACAGATTCAAGACATGAAAATGATGTATCAATGTTAAAATCATTGGCTGCGCCAGTGACATCTGATTTATGATTTTCCGCAAGCATATCAAAAGAAGAACTGGAACCGTACGGAATTTCCTCAGTGGGGGCAGTTTCATTTTCCACGTCAGCATGTTCCCCTGAAAGGTCGATTGTTGAAGGATCAACGTCCGTGTTTGAACGGAGCAGTAAAGTTTTATCAATTGCATTAGGGTCAAAGGGGAATATACCGCATTTGCGAAACCCTTCACTGATGCAATCCATCGTGAAGCTTTTTTCAAAGACGACTTTGAAAATAGCGCTAACTTGTTTCTTTGAGATCCAAAGATCAGACTTGACCATTTTTGCCTGATTAACAACTTTTGCAGTCTCGACCTTCATTTTTCTGTAAACTGCGACATCCAAAGGCTGGGTTATATGTGTTGTCTTGGGAGGCAGGCACAGCAGAATAACATCATTTGCTATTGCTGATCTTATAAGATCAACACTGATGTGGGAGGATGCACCGTCTTGTATCAGAAGTAACGGGCGTGCAGGAACTGCATGCTCAATGAACGTTTTTACGAACCATTGATGATACAGAGTTTGATCCATAAACCCACTGTCAGAACAAGCATAACTTGCATTCACTGGTCCCTGACGGTGGTAAGGACCACCTGGCAGACTTTTACTAAAAATGATCATGGGCGGTAAAGTATGGCCTGCGGCATTCACACAACAATGCACGGAAATATGCTCACTGGTTGCAACCGTTACACTATGGGCATGTTTCGATCGTGTTGGTACGACTACTTTTTGTCCCGCGCTTTTATTCAAATATAACGCCGCCTCGTCACAGTTATATATCTGGTCTGGTTTATTTCGTAGTCGATTACAGTCAAGCGTTTCTTTAAGAAGTTGAAAGTAATCCCGTATAGCGCTAACATTGCCAAGACAAGCTCGACCTCTGTCTAGGGCATCAGGCCGTCGCAAAGTAATCTCAGGGTGCCTTTGTTTAAACCCTTTCCACCATTTCCTAGAAGGACCCGTTTTAGTAAACACCTTCTCTTTACCGTGTTCTTTCGCTATGCACCACGCGAAGCCAATTACTTGCTGAATTGAAAACGGAAATCCACGATTCGCCATGTAAAAAATATAACTTACAAGCGCAGATTCTTCGTCAGCATTTAATGCCGTTTTTACACCCATTTTCG